TGACATCTATATAGTAGGAAGGAGAAAAAACGCTGAGGTTTCCATTCCTGATTGCTGTCCGGTGATCTCTGGTAGAAAATGTGCACATGTGGATTCTGTTTGAGAACAGGTTTGAGCAATGTTTTAATGTTCCTGATGGCTAAATAGCCCCATGATGTCACCGATTTTCCAAGATTACAGGAATAGTTTGGATGAAGAAGACCCGTCCACCCATCTGATCTCATCCCTCCAGAATCCCTGCCCTACTATCCTCCCATCACAACATCCAGCTGCGTTTTTAAATGAGTCCCAGTGTCCTTGGCCTCAACCATTTTGCCTGGCAACATTGAACTCTCTCAGTTCCATGAATGGGTACATTTCAAAACAAAATGATGACTTTATTTGATTAGAATTACAGAACATATATTACTGGTTGACTTTGGTATTTTTATTCTGTTATTTACCAAAAATGTAGAAATTAAGATTGGCAAAGAGAAATGCTTCATTATAGGAATTGCGTGTTGTATCAGTAAACATGTATGCAAGGATCGAACTGGTTAGTGAGCAGTTTCGGCAATCTTCTGGTTTACATATTTAAACCCATAACAGTAGTGGTAACTCTCTGGTTTTCTTGCTGTTTGTATACCAGGAAGGCTGTGGAGAGTCTAGCTGGCAACAGTGATGTAGAAGTTCAGCGGGTTAAAGATCAGGCTCAGAAGGATGTGCAACAGGTGAAAGAGATCCTTGGTAACCAAATCCATCTCTTGGAGGAGGTGAGCATTTCTTAGTTTGGTTTAAATGAACCATTGATTAAACCCTTTCCCTTGCCCTTTTCAAGCGCTTTGCGTGAGAGGCGCTATATAAATGCAAGTTGTTGTTGTTTTCTGACAGCCTTTTACGTTTTGGATTTTTCTGTGTTATAACTTGCATCGTTTTATGTTGGGGTGGGAGTTTTTCCTCAAATAAAATGTACTATAAACCTGTATCTTACCCTTCTCTGCATCTAGGATGTCAAAACTACCCAGGCCGAGTTAGAAAAGATGGCTGCCATAGCAGAGCAGGAGAAACTTCGAAGCATAAGCCTTGAAAAGCAGATTCTGGCTACAAACAAGCAGAACCGTACAGGGTTGGCCTTATCCCCGGAGCAGATCAAAATCCTTCCAGAAAACCAGTCAGTTCCTTTTTGTTTATCAATATTTTAACTTGAACAATATCAAAACTTGTACAGTATTTGATTATATCGCATGCCTTTTCTTGTGTCGACACCATTTGTCTCGACATTTCGGTAAATTTCTGAGATTCACTAAATTCTTATGAGTTAACATTGGAAGCTTCTGCTGTAATGAAGTACGAGTAGAAGTTAGTTAGAATTTTTTAAAATGTTTATTTAATAATTTCTAGGCTGATTGAAGATCTGAATGAAGCCATTAAGGGCAAAGATGCTCTTATCGATCAGCTAATGAATGAAAAATCAAAACTACAAGGCAACCATACGCAACCCCTGGAAGAAAAGATTCAGGAACTTACTGAGGCGCTTCTCAAGAAAGCTGGTGAAACCGAAGTAAGTGGCCTTTTAATCCATTAATAATAATGATCCTTGCATTTGATATAGCACCTTATCGTATCTTCGAGATGTCTCAAAGCGCTTCACAGAATATACTGTAAAGTGTAGAGACTGCATATTTTGTGAGAAACGTTTAAAGCAGGACTTACTACCAAGGGAAGGGGTTAACAATATTTGCATGAAATTCACCTACTCCATGTTGCAGTTTTGTACGGTGACGTGGCTTCCTCATCCTGGTAAAAGTGGTCAGAGCCACTTTTGCCACAAGCTCAGTTCCTTATTGTTAGTTTATCATCTCGGGAGTCACTGGGATCATGGATTTTACTGAGAGTTGAAAAAACCCAGAAGATTAAATGCCTAAAATGGCAATTTTGCTCCACCTTGCAGTAAACATTATATTGGCAACGACCTGAACTGTGCAACATGGGTAAGAGCTGAGTAAGAAGCTGGAAGTTTTTTTTGTGTGAGATCACCTTACAAATGCACAGTTCCTACACTTCATCCTGTGAAGCGCTTTGAGACATCTTGACGACGTGATAAGATGCTCTACTAAACATGAGGGTTGTTATAATTAAATTACAGTTAATTTTGCTTTGTAGGAAAAGTTAAGTAAATCTAGAGAACCCCACTGTAACATTCAGAAACCTCTATGAAGAGGAATCAGAATAGCAGAAATCTGACATCTTTAATTCCCTCCACTAACAGGCCCTTCGAGGGGAGCTTGGAAATGAAAGAAATCGTTTTGAGAGCGATATGAAGGTAATCCTTTAATCAAAAGCAAAGTATTATGGAGTGAAAGTTCTTTAACATGCAGTTAGGATATTATAACCAGAATTATCCATAATATAGTTGCATGTAAAAGGCCTTCCTGCTTGAATTGTAATACAAATTCTGTACGAACATGGAGAACAATGGTTGCTTTTGGAATTAAATTTGTTGCATCATTCTTAAGATAAATGCTTTGTTTCAGCAAATACTGATGTCATCTCAAGATCTTGTTCTACTTTCCATTATCTTTCACTTGATTTATTTTGGAACATTCTTGAGCTTGGTAACGCATTTATCAGGAAAGGCCATTCAGTGTTTTAAATGTATATACCGATGGCTCAGCATTTTTCAGAAATCGCGTCAGATAAGAACTCAATCCCAGTTCCTTTGTGCATTTAATTTGGCAGCCCCTATTGCTTGGTACTGGATGTGCAGAAGTCCTGTGTTTCAGTGATTGTTCGGTGCCTGGTTCTACGTGGTTCTCGGTCTGATTGATGGAATATGGTTGAATGGAACACGTACAGCTGTGCAGAGCTGCAAAATAGTTGCTTTTTCCTTTTGTTAAACAATCTACTTTACAGAATGAAACTAAAAGCTGTTCTAAATCGTTTGTCACTGCAAGACGCACAACCTGGCCATTTAAAAACCCTTTGTTACTGGGGCAGCAGCATCTCTACAAATAAGTTCTCTCGACTTTGTTATTGTTTGGTGACACATAATGAAGTCTCTCCATCATGAGCTGTGATTTCCTTTTTCCATTGGTCCTGCTGATTTCTCTTCTGTTGTACCAAGTTATTAAAGTGAAAAACTATGCTTCTATTTAAGGTCACTCCCTAAGTTAGTTTGAGAAAACAGACTTAACGTTTATAAAATTCTCAAGTGTAAATTTATGACATCTCCACTGTAAATTGTTTTTTGTTGCAATCAAAGTAGGAAATATATTTTCCTGCGATGTATCAGCTTTTCTGCTTTTCTTTTCTTCTCGTATTTGTTGACAATTTGTGAATTTCTACTGTAAACGTCTTCAAGCGGCTGATTTGGGGGAACTCTAGCTTTGTGGTTTGCTCCTCCCTACCTCTGTGATCCATTGACAGCAGATCAACATCTCCGCACGGCGGGAACTGGCCTGCTCCATGTCCCCCAGCCTGCCCGCTCCACCATTGACAATTGGGTCTTCAGCTTCTCTGCACCCATTCTCTGGAACTCCATCCCGGAATCCCTCCAGCTCACCGGCTCCCTTGCCTCCTTCAAGGGTCATCTCGAAACCTTCCTCTTTGACCGTCCCTTTGGTCACCCACCCTCCACCCACCTTGATTCCAACCCCCAGCTCGAGTGCAAGCCTTTGATGATCCAATGCCTTGGGATGTCCTAATGTGAAAGGCTCTATATAAATGCAATTTGTTTTTATTGTTGTGTTTATTGTTGTCAACTATACTTTGAAACATTTTTCTTAGCATTTATAGGAATACTTTTGTTTACCAATCTTTTTGTATTTCAGGCCATGCCCAATTATGCTGATTAAATAGTTAATGAGTGTGCAAAATCTAGCTGTGAGGTATTGAGGGATTATAGTTATGCACCTGCTTTGCTACACCGTCGTTTCACTTGGTGTGCTAATCCCTGTTGCAAGGCTGTACCAATTGCCTTANTTTTTTACAGGGGAGACCAGAGAGAATAAATTTAAAAAAGCAAAATGATTTTCAGCTAGTAGAACATGTGGGAACACATGAGGACAGCTAAGGAATAGGCTACGTAGGGGATAACATTAAAAAGGTGTTTTTCAAATTATTTGATCTGAGTTTCAAGATTTTTGGTGTTGGTGGTACACCCGAGTATGCTTGCCAAATGACTTTCTTGTTTAGCAAATCCTCAGTTAGTTGGAGGAACTTGTAAGGGAGGGTCCTTGTACCGTGGATGAGCGTTTAAAGATAAAGTGTTCTTTTGTGAAGGACTGCTGAAAATGAAACTACTGTAGTGTGGAGATCTGAAGGGGACATGAGTTCGTTTGAAAAATAGGAAGATGGAAAAGAGGAAATTTGCCAGCTTGGCAGCATTTGTGAGTTTCTACTCGAGAAAGTGACTCAAGTTGAAGTGAAACGTCTCATGGCATTTTAACCTAGTAAAGTGACGCTGTCTGAAAGCTGCAACATTAAACAAAAAAGGCACAAAACTGGACTTAATATCAGCAACAGTTGAAGCCCGTCTAGCAGAATATATTGCGGCAGTTCCCTGGCCACATTGGCTCAGATTGAGACAAAAATCAAGAAGTTTTATTGAAGATCTTTAAATCTCCATGAAAATTACTGGTTTGTTTTCATAGGTTGATGGATTCCTGAGGTCTGCATTTTTAAACCATTTGACTAAAGTTTAGCCACTTGAAGAAACTGTATTAAAGAAATGAATTCAGCTTACTCCATGTGCCATGTAAGCTGTAACTGAAGAATCTACCTTCAACAGGAAACTGGTGGTTTTTCTGCAGCAGCGTGCAGGCTTTTTAATGTCTTAGTTCTGCTATATTTGTCATTTCGAAAGTTCTGTGGAAAAAAAAAATCAGTAAGCCTTAACATCAGGTGACCTACCCAGATTTGAAATGATTAAATTGCTCTTTCTAAATATATTAATGATGTTGACAGAACTACAATGGAACCAGTGGGTTTAGGTTCAATGAGAGATTCATTAGAATTTGGGCTGTATTTTTATGGGATTGTGCTTTGATAAGAGCACGTCTGTAAAATCCTGTGTCTCCTTATAACACTTGAAGTGCGAGCTAATGGAGGTTTTGTACACCAGCTGCCAGTGAGTAAATCAGCTCTCCGTTTGTGGTTATCTGCGCTGAGGAAGAAGAAAAGACTTGATCTCGTCAAGCCAAGACAACAAGAAAACAAACATTACTCATTTGATGGTCATGTGCCTGCTGAGTCCTATCCTATCAAATGCCTTGCTGTCTGGCCTAATCGGAAGTTGAGAATGTGTCTTCAGTCAGGACGTGTGCCTTTACTGAACGGGACTGGATTGTCGCAAACTTGGTGCGTTTGAAACCGACGACATTTACCCGAGTTGGTATCAGCATTGTGTATGAATCACAGACGTGTTGCTTTACTGCTGGGAAGGTGCAGGCGATTGCCATAACAACGTCTGATGCAGTCGTCCGTCACTCTGCCTTTTATTTTATTTTGAGAATCTATCCGTGGAAGATCAGAAGGCCTGAACTGCTAGCTTCATATCAATTGAATTTAGGAATTTAAATTTCAAGACTTCCATTTCAAGAAGGGCACGGTCAGCTGTGCATTGTGTTTAATGAGCATTTCAGCGCTTGAAACCCTAATTTTCTGAAGATGAAGGATCTCTGTCGTGTCTGTGCCAGCAGGCTTCAAGGAAATCAGCGTCGCTGGATTTTCAGCATCGCTGGCAAAAGGAGGTTGCAAGTTGTTCTGTCTTTCGTGTTGGACCATATAGTCAATCGCGATGGTGAAGGAGAATTCTTGTGCAGTAAATGTGTCTTTATGTTGGAGAAGGTATTTAAATGCGATATCGTTATTGCGCATGTCCGGGCCCTTGCTGTTGAGAAGCTACAGAGCATTACGGCAGAGAAGGAGCAGCTAATTCAGTGCATTTCTCGTTTGTATTATCGATACAATAAGAAGCCTCCAGGTCCCCAATACCAGGAGCTGAGCTACACTCCGGAGGCTGCCAGTCTGCCTCGTGAGAATTACAGCAGGCTCCTGCAAGCCGAATTTTCCCTTTATGAATATGAACATAAAACACCAAGAAAAAACAGTAACGGGCGCTTCAGCTGCTCCAGCTGCCGACATGCACCCACTCGTGGGCACAGAATGAGAAAGTGCTTCAGTTATGACTTGTCACGTGTAACGGATTGTTTGTATGATTCGGTGTACTCGACCCCAAGATGGTCCACACGGGGTGGCAGGTCAGGATCTGCTCGTGTCCCTCCATTAAGCAGGCAATCACCCAGTATGTGTTTTGAGTTGATACAGAGGAGCAGCATGTTGGCAGAGAAGGAGAGCAGTGGACTCAGTCTGAAGCAATCCCTTTGTGCAGAGATCTCAGAGAGTCCATCACTGGCGTCATTAAATCTAAGCAGAATCGATTGGAAAATCGACGAAGAACCTGAGGAATTTCAGCTAACGTCGGAATCTGATTGTGCAGCGCTGGGTGGGTGCTGCCTCCAAATGAGGGAGTCTGTTGCTGAGGCAATTCAGCAAATAAGTCATTTTCAGTGCAAACCGGTGCCATTCCAGTCACACAGCAAGATCCCAATAGCTGTGTATTCTGCACGGAGACCAGCATCAGGATGCAGCAGTGCAAGGACCCCTGATCTTGAAGGAGCTAGGTCTGTGCAGAAACCCTTGGAAGACATGGAAGATGAATATATTCCCCTAAAAACTGAGGTAGTTAATCGCATTAATATTTAATCTGCTGCTTTGTGTAGAACATTTTTTTTCTTTTGGTCTGTCCCCCTTTTATACTTAAACCATCACAAGGTATTGTATTTAAAACCGACAAGGCATTGAATCTCGGAAGTGCTGTTACCTTTAAAATTCTACCGGAGAGCATTCAAGCATTGAAGTTGTGTGAAATATATTTAGCTTTTTTTTAAAATTAAAGAATATTTGCTTAGCAGAACTTCTCATATCTCTCTTTTCCCTCTTCCTCAGAACCTGGTTGAGAAACATAGGCAATTTGGGCAGCTGGAGATGGAAGCCAGGCAACTAAACTCTGATCTGGAGAGGGCCCAGACTTCTATCTGTGCACTGCAGGAAAAGCTAAAGGAAGCAGAGCAAGCCAACAAGGTACAAAATCCGTTTAAAGAGCAAATTATTGGAATAATATTCTTTAAAATGTCCCTTTTTTACCTGTAAAATACNTTTTTTCTATTAAACATCATTTTCTATTATTGTTTAATATGTTACTTAGTATATAAAGTCTTAATCAAAGGTGTTGCATCAAATTTGGTTTAGATCCTGCAGGAACATGTTGAGGAAAAGAAGAGCAGTCTGACAACTGAGAAGCAGAACAGTCTGAAACGAGATAAAACCATTCAAGGACTGACTCTGGCTCTGAAGGCCAAAGAGAAAGAGGTATGTATGTTAGCAGTGGTCATGACAGATAATTCCCTATGTCACAGTTATTTGTGAATTACTAATGTTGATGATTTAAATATTTCTCTCATTATTGAGACATAATTGTGGTGACAATGTGGCGGGCTTGAAACCAATCTATTCATGAATGTACAGTATTTGTAGAATCCTGTAGCTTAGTTGTTAGAGCACTTGAAAGCGAGAGAACCTGGGTTCGATTCCCGGGCAGGGCGAAACGTTAGGTAAATGATTGGCCGATCGCTTTTCTGGAATTATAATCCCTTCCAAAAAAATAATAATCATTTGGTCACTCAATTTACAGCTGTTTGTGGGACACTGCTGTGCAAAAAATGTCAGCCGCGTTTCACCCACAAAATATACAGTCAATTCACTTTAAAGTATATTCTGTGAAGCACTTTCAGTTGTCTTGAAGATATGATAAGGCACTATGTCAAATGCAAGGATTATTATTATTCATTGAATTGTTCCTTTAACACTAGGTCTTTTTATTTAAACAGATTGAAGAGCTTTGTCATGAAATTGAAGATCGGGACGATGCACTGGCAAAAGCCAGAGATTCGTTACATAAGGCTCAACTTCAGAAATTCCAGGTAAAAGCTAAGTTGTTAATCAGTTTTCTTTTTAGCAGAGGGCTGAGTGTTAGTTCTACACAAATTAATTAATTGTAATACTCATATACTCATATACTCCCATATACTCATGGGAAACAAAGTTAGGTTAAAGCATCAAAGACTTTCACATTGATACAAGAGCAAACTCAAATTTCACTTTGGGAGGTTAGGACTTGAATATGTAATAATAATCCTTGCATTTGATTCCGTGTCTTATCGCATCTTTGAAACGTCTCAAAGTGCTTCACAGAATATATGTAATAATGAATTGACTTTATATTTTGTGGTTGCAATATGGTAGCCATATGAAAATAAGGATGATGTGATCTTCTTTTGGTTCGCAGTTGCTGCATACTGCAGTAAAGGGTGTGTTGGAGGCGGGGGAGGAGAACCAACAGTTTAAATCTGCTTTCATAATGTTTGAAATGATCTTGAACTAGACTTGTGACTTTATTTCGTGACCAGGGAGCAGAGGAGTATCAAAGCCTTTTAACTGAGAAGGAAACAGAGTTGGCAGAGTTGCGCGTTGGGCACAATGGGAAAGCGATGGAGACACAGAAGTTACAGCGAGCATTAAACCGACAAGAGCAGGAACTGAACGACTTGAATCAAGCCAAGGGTCAGCTGGAGAGAGAGCTGGAAGATATGCATCTTCAGAAAAACAAGGGCGACAAGGCAGTCAATGTGAGTGCTATCAAGTATTTACTATCATAGGGAAGGGGATTTTTAGAGGAAATGTTTAATATTACCAGAAGAACACAACATAATAAGACTGTCAGAACATCTCTTTGAATCCAGCTGTATGTGGGTTGTACAAAAGAAAAGCTAAGTTAAATAATCGGTTATGGGCTGTGTTCTAGATAGCGCAGTTTACTTAGGAATGTACTGTGGAATGTCTTATCAGGAGTTAGCCAAATACATTTTCTGCTTTAAACACTTTTTTTAAAAAGACATGCAAGAAGATCAGTGAACCTGTTCCCTAACGTGCATTTATGACTTTCTTTAATCTGCAGTAACAATATTGTATATACTGCTGGGAAAACTCCCTTTTCTCTTTGAATGTATTACTTTCCTGTTTTTAATCTTCATTTGGCATATAAAATGGACGGAAACTGAAAGCAAAAGCTCTTCAGTCGTTACTTAGAATATGAATTTTGATTACATTTCAGGAAAATTACTCATTTGGAGCATTTTATGTGCAGAACTGTCCCATAAATATGTTAAGCTCACTGCGTGTTTTTTTTTCTCTCTCGCTTCCTTCAGGAACTTCGGAATCAACTAGAGAAATTGCGCGGTGAGCTGACAGCCAAGGAGCAGGCAATGGAACAACAGTATAAAACCCTGCTGAATGAGAGCAAACTGAAACTGCAGAGCCAGGAACTAGTCATCGAGCGCCTAACCGACAGCTTAAACAACAAAGATCAACTGCTCCAGGTGTGGGTCAGCAATGATGCTCCTCTAGGAAAATAGTCCGCTCATTGCACAACAATTTAATAATAATAATCATAATCATCCTTCTGTTATTGACGATGATAATAATAATTATAATCCTTGCATTTGATATAGTGGTTTATCACATCTTCGAGACGTCTCAAAATGCTTCACAGAATACACTGTAAAGTGAATTGACTATATTTTGTGGGCGAAATAATAATGATGATAATAAATAACAACAACTTGTGTTTACGTAGCGCCCTCATGCAGAATAGGGTCCCAGATCCCCTTTCACAGCAGTAAGATGTCTTAAAATGCTTCACAGGATCTACTATAAAAGCGGCAGTTCAATTTTAATTCATTTGAATAGTCAGCCTGCCAGTAGATGAGTGTCAGAATGGCTCAGTTGGTAACACTCTTGCCTCCGAGGCAGAAGGTTGTGGGTTCAAATCCCACCCCTAACCCTTCCTCCATGATGCGTTTTATATTGAATGCAAATGGCCCAATTTACAGTTTTCTCTGGAGAAATATAACACAAAGCAATCAGCCTAATTACAATTATAAAAAGATTTATTGCAATGAATTCCACTTCAAAAATAGCAAACGTTGTAAATAGAATGTCATGGCCAGCAGCAGTTAGACTCGATGACTATCTGCACTGGAGGTTGTTACATCCAGAATTATGAATAAGTGAAAAAATTGTACGATTGGTGTTTGCATTCATCTTAAATTGCAATTGACATGTAAATTAAATTTCCCTAAGCACACAGCCAAACCGTGCTGCCAGCTTTACTTTGTTCTTGTAGCTTTACTAAAGCTATCTCTCTCCCTGGTCCTTGTGCTTTAAAGGGTGAGGTGCAGAATACAAATATCTGACTTGTACCGTCTTGCATTGGGGCCATTAATTAGCAGGACAAAATTCTGAGTTTGGGCCCAGTAAATTATAATGCATAAGAATCAGCTACCAATATCATTACCATGTAGCCGTTTCCACAAGTGAGGCTGATTGGCAAGCCACAAGTGGACTATTAACAACCTCATTAGTGGAGCTCTTTATCATGTCTCACAGCAGATAATTAGTCGAAGATGCTTTGTTATAACTTACTGCATTTTATATATGACCCTAATTAGGTTTTTCTGACAATGTTTGATCTCTTGCACATTCGTTAGTTTTAAAAGCTTATTGAGTTCATGTGGAGTTGGTTTCTGGAACAGTTTCATACGCTGCGAGCTGGACACTGATTTTACTTGCGGGTTGTTATTAATTAGGAGTAAGTGATGTGTGATGGCGATTCCGGTTTTGTAGTCTACACTCCTTTTTACTTCTCACACGTCCCCTACCTCTCCCTCTCCTCCCCCTCATAAGGATTATATGGAGTTGGCAAAAGGAGCTCAGCTTGGAGGGGATCAGAGTCCCAGTGGAAAGGACGCCTTGCTGGCTAAATTGCGTGACCGACTAAAAGAGAAAGACAAAGCCCTTGAGGTACGCTCCTTATTAAACTAAATCTAAATATCAAAAGCTTTGATTAATATTGCATCTCCCAGTCTATTTGCTTTATGGTTTGATGTTTTGTTATTTAAAACGGCAGCTGCCGAAAATCTTGTTAGCAATATTATATTAGAGATTCTTGTGTTTTTTTTCCTCAAAAGTCGAGACCCTTCAATAAATGTCAGTGCAGTTTTATTCCGCAAGTGTGCAGTGTAGCATATTGTAACACATTCTGTACAATTTTCTGTTTGTCAAATTCCAAAGCGAGCCATTGATGAGAGATACGCGGCTATCGACGAAAAGGAGAATGAGATTCGGCAGCTGCGCTTAGCTTTGCGAGAAAAGGAGCACGATTTAGATCGCCTGAACAGTCTCTTTGCCAACAATGAGGAAACCATCAATGTAAGCACATTTCCTTGATGTGTTCTCAATTGTATGCTCTACAAGTATGTATATACATAAAGTTTGAGGTATTTTAAGGATATTCTCTTTCTGGACGTGTTTAGATTTGTGAGGAATGCATGAAATGGTTAACTGAAAATGCTTGAAAAATATTTGTGATGAGTTTAAGGGATTGAGAATTGTGGCTAACTTTAATTATTTGTATTAAATTAACATTGGCAAAATAATTTTAAGCGTAGGTTTTGGTTGTGCAGAAATACTATTAAGATCGACAAGATCCCTGAAATCTAATAACTGCTTTCCAAAGAGTGTGAGGCTATTTGCAAGTAAAATTAACATAGCGGTTGCTATTCACCCATCTTTTTACTTCAGAGTCTGGACGGTGTCATTAAAGAGAAAGACATGGAGTTGCAACATCTCACAAATACCTGCAAAAATTTACAAAGAGTGAAACAAGAGCTTGAGGAGAGCCGGGCGCGAGCACTTCGGGAGAAGGATGCCATTATTTCACAGCTGGAGAACTCCCTGAAAAGCAAGACCCAGAGTTTGGAGGTGATACGCCATTGTACTAAAGTAGATATCCTAAGTGGGTGGCAAAATACACATTTGCACTTCAGGGCACATTTTGCCCGTTTGCACCACACTGTTGTTCTTCTGATGGTACCCCAACTGATTAGTCTGCATTATGTTTATTAAAAAAAAATTTAGTCACTCAATCCACGACTGTTTGTGGGACACTGCCGTGCGCAATTGGCTGCCGTGTTTTGCCCACAAAATATACAGTCATTACACTTTACAGTATATTCTGCGAAGCGCTTTGAGATATCTCGAAGGTGTGATAAGGCGCTATACCCAATGCAAGGAGGATTATTATTAAAAGTTGTAAAACTAAAGCTTTCTTACCTCATCTGCCAGGAAATGACAGATACGCTGTTGAGCCAGGCTCAGAGCGACACCAAAGACTTGGCAGAGCAGTTGAGTCAGCGGTTGAAGGTGAAGGAGAAGATGCTGGAGGAAGCTTGGGTGGATCAGAAAGACCTGAGCTCCAAGCATGAGAGGGAAGTTGAGGACTTGCTGAATCTTATCAGCAACAAGGATAATCTGTTTAAGGTGGGAAACTATGTTAATTTAATTTATAGCATCATATTCCTTCTCCACCCCCAAAAAAATTAATTTGGTCACTCAATCCACGGCAGGGCGAAACGTTGGGCAAGTTTCCTTGCTCCACACGCCTCTGTTTACACAGCAATAAGTAGGAACCCGGTTGTTAGTTGATTGGCGGATTGCTTTGCCGGGGGTAATAATTCCTTTTAAAAAAAATAATAAATTGGTCACGCAATCCATGACTTTTTTGTGGGACACTGAAGTGAGCAATTGCTGTCGAATTTTTTCCCACAAAGTATACAGTGTTTATTCCGTGAAGTGATTTTGGACGTCTCCACGACATCTTAAGGCGCTACTTCAAATGCAGGAATTATATTAAACTTCTTTATACTGTTTTTGAGCAGCCCAGTAAACCTCTATAAAATAATTCTGTAGATCGACGGGCAAAGGAGAATACTTTCAGTTGGAGAGAAATTAATTATTTTTCTAAAAATTCCGATTTGGTTTAGGAGGCATCTGAACGTTATAATCGTAAATTGTCTGACCTCAATCGTGAGATACAGGAATTGGAGCGGCAGCTTGCTGATAAAGGGCGTGATCTCTTGAGTTTGGTGAAACACGATTCCATGCAAAACCAGGAGCAGATCCTGGAAATGGCTCAACTTAAAGCTGCTTTGGACGAAAAAGATAAGATTATCAACGTGAGTATTCCTATAGATCTCAACAACTATGAAATTGGTATTGCTACTCTTCACAACACTGTCAATCCTCCAGTTATCAATCCTGAAAAATTAGAAACTTTAATTAATTTGGGGGGGAACAACTCAAATGTGAAACAAATTAGTTTAGCCTTCATTCTTTTCCCCCCCCTTTGACTTTGAACAAGTTTGATGCTCCTGTTACTGTACCATTTGTGAATAGTTTGTCCTCTGCAGCCTAGTCATTTTCAGAAATGATAGATTCTTGAGGCTGATTTGATTTAAAAGCTCTCAATAGGATTTTCCTGATTTCTCTCCCCCCGCCCCCTATTTTCCAATACTAATTACAGCTTCTTATTCCAACAGAAACTGGTGGAGCATGGGCAAGAGAAGAATGAGTACTTTGCCCAGCTGAAGGATCAAGGAACTCTGAATCCTCCACATGTTCTTGAGTTAAAACAAACCATCAAAATACTGCAGGAACAACTGGAAGAGGGTAGGCAATGCGTGAGCAATACTGAGTGACTAAATTCTGTGTTCATATCTCACTCAAGATATCTAATATTTTAACATTTCGCCCACCAATACACAATCAGTCAACTTTCACTTCTGTGAAGCACTGTGAGACTTCTCAAAGGCACCATATCAAATGCAAGGATTATTATTGTATTGTCACCTTTGTCCCATAAAATCAAGTGCATGTGATCTCCGAATTAGAAAGTATGGATGACCTGGACTTTCTTACATAGAATTTGTATTGTGGGTGTGTTGTAAGTGCTAAATGGACCCATTGCATTTATAGGTACATTACAAATGTATTAAGGTTTAATCCTTGTCCTTATGACATTTGAAACCCATGGCGGATAAATTTCAGTTTGGATTGTTCGTGAAAGCAGTGCCGAATGTAATGCCCAGTTGGGGGTATACATGACACCTAGTGGATCCATTTCATAGTTCAGAGCTGTCAATGGAAACCTAGTACAAGCAGAATGGAAGCCCTATTGATAGACACTACAATGCTCTTTCTCCTGCCTTTTCCCCCTTCCCGTCTCCCTGCCCTAAGAGTTGGATAATTTGTACATTTCTTCTGCATTTCCAGCCAAATTAACTCAACACACTTCGGTGGAGGATGAGATTGTTGTCAAAACATCTCAAAGCAAGAAGGGTTTGATCTACCTCAAAAAAGAGCTCGCTAAAAATACAGAAGAACTAAACAACGCCTTGAAGAAAGAAAACGAGGCTAAGGTATGTGTGCGCACCGGTCGGTAAAAGATACGATCGATGGTTGAGTGCTTTTGAAATCAATTCCTCAAACATTTCCCTCTGATGAATGAAAACATAAGGGCTTTATTTTGCTAAACTTTATTTCCACAGATGGAGGTAGCTCGACTCCAGTCTGTTCTTGAGTGCCTGCACAAGCAGATTCAAGCACAGGCGGCAAGTATTGAATCGTTGTCTAACACCATGCAGGTCAAGGATGAAATCATAAAGGTAAGAATTTTTTATTTTTGGGGCCTTTTGCCATGTGGGTGCCTTTTGCTAAATAAAGAGTTATACTGAGTTGTAAAGTGCATAATTCAGTTTATTAGTGTTTTACAGATATATATCAAATGCAAGTATTATTGTTATTATTGCCAGGTTTCATGCGCATATTTCAGATTCCGGGACTGCAAATCCTAACGGAAACCACATACTGAGGGGAGTTATGGTACTTCCTTCAAGAAGTGAGATTGAATTGTGTTTGTTTCTTAAACTTGTTAAAAGCTCCTTTATTATCGCAGGAACTTCAAGCGAGACTGAACGCCTCATCCGAGGTGAGGGAAGTGGAGCATTTTACAAGTGAAGTGATTGTGCTGAAGGAGGGTATCCAGAGACCGGATCACCCTCCGAGGGAACGTACCATCATAGGGGGAGACAGCCAACAGGTCTGGGCAAGTTAATATTGATATTCATTTGTGTGTTCATTGTTTTTAATCTATTTTGGTTTAATACAGTTAGAAGGTGAACAGAAATGATCACCGTGTATCTTTCCTGCAGTATGCCACGACCACAGAAGATGAGCTGTCAGAAGACCAGTTGTACCAGGCACTAAAAGCAGAACAGCAGCTCTACTCCAGGCTCATCAAAGCAGTGAAGGAACCAGACAGGTGAACGATTTTTGTCGAAGCTAAACAAATGTTTGTGAACCCCTTTTTCTCAACACCAAAGTTTCTCTTCTGAAAGCTGTTCTGATCACGTCCCCCACCCCCCCCAACTTAGAGCAGTTCCACAGACTCTCACCCTCGGCCAAGTTGCTGTGAGCCTCGATCGTGCCAGGCTCTTCATCTGTGGGTTGCCTCAGAGCCAAGCTTGATCCTCTCCTTACCCAAAACTCGCCATTTTTATCTAGCCTGTATCTGTGAATTCCTTCTTGCTATCAAACCTCTTTGATGTCGTATGTGTTTCACATGATTGGTATCCCAGCTTGTGTTAGATACTCGGACAACGCTACGAATCGGTTATACCTTGTGTATTTTTTTCCCTCCACCCATATAATAAAGTCAGGTCTTTATTTTCTTTCTCTGGCACCGACTCTCATGAACCATGTCACAGCCACAGTCGTATCCAAGCCTTGCAGATGGAGCTGACGGCTGTCCAGCTGTTGCGGCAGCAGCTCGAAGAAAGCATCCGATCCAATCAAGATTTGCAGAAGAAGCTAGAAGAGCAAGTCCAAGAGACAAAGAGGAAAGAAGGTGGGGCTCAAACGGAATTGTGATATCATGCTTTGCATACTAACTCACGTGAAAGGACGCAGTAACCGGAGTTTCTGAAAAAGATATTTTCGAAACTAACGGCTGTACGATGACATTGTGAACAAAAAGAAGGGAATGTGCAGTTTGCGGTGATGGAAATGTTTGTTGCATCAGTAATGGCCAGCCTCAGTAGTGTAAAGTTACAGAACTTAACTTTGTTCAGCTCTTTATGTAAGCACATTTTTCTGTGCCAATACAAATGCAGAAGTCAATGGATGCATCCCTGTCTGATCTAGTGACTGTATGTTTATATACTCAGCGCCTTGGGACGTCCTGACAAAGTGAAAGGCGCTATATAAATGCAAGTTGTTGTTGGTTTCTGGTTACATGTGGGGGAGGAGGGAGAAACCAAGAGAGGGTAGAATAAAAAAATCTATTCAAAGCTGTTGCCCATACACCAAAATAATGTTTCGTTAGTCTTGAGATCGGTACACAATATTTAAGCAAATAATGCAAGTGGGGCCCCAATGAGAGTTGATCGCAAAATAAGTACATTTGCGCTGGATCAAAGCTTATACTTTCTGTTCGACATATTGGGAACATATTTTATCTTGTATTGCTTAAAATAGGTGATCTAAAATAACATCTCTCCTGGGTTGAAAGGTGATCTGTTCGGCACAGGAGAGGCCAACCCATGTATCCATTTTAAATAATAATCCTTGCACCTGTTATAGCGCCTTATCATGTCTTCGAGATGTCTCAAAAGCGCATCATGAAATATACTGGAAAATGAATTGACTGTATATTTTGTGGGCGAAACGCAGCAGCCAATTGCGCACAGCAGTGTCCCACAAACAGTCGTGGATTGAGTGACCAAATTATTTTATCTTTGGTCACTCAATCCACGACTGTTTGTGGGATTGAGTGACCAAATTATAAATGCAACAGAACAAGATAAATTCAGGAAAGTACTCAAGTAGTTAACAGGGAAATAAGGAATGTTTGTTTTTGATTTTTTGATAGTTAAGTAAAAATGCGTCAGTCGAGTTCCTAGTTTTCAACATTCTTTTGCAGTGAATCTGTAGAGAGATTTATTGCATTTGCAGCTGAGTATACTTGAGTTTTACATCTGCGAGGTATGCGTGTGATTAAGATTGCACAGCAGGATTTTTAAAAAAAAACATTTACATAACTGAGCTTAAGGAACATAAACTAAATTCATTTTAGTGAATTAGATGAGAACATAAACTAAATTTATTTTAGTGAATTAGATGTGGGCCATAATGAAGTTGGCATTTGGTCTGATCCAAACTAGATCCTTATCTAGTCCCAGGATTTTTAAGATCTTATTGTTACCTGAAAAATATAGTCAGTTTAATTTACAGTTATTCTGTGAAGCGCTTTGAGATGTCTCAAAGATTTGGTAAAGCGCTATATCAAATGCAAGTATTATTATTATTTTCCACATGGTCTCCAGATATTTTTGACCTTTGGTGTTAAATTTTCATGTTGCTTTTGAGCTGATGGGGAAACTAGTGTCAGGTCAGGCTGGGTTTGAGTTTTATTGGCCAAGTTTGGAGTGAACAGCACTTTGGTATTACCGTCATTTGGGAGATGACACTTTAATCATATCAATTGGTGCAACTCCCATCTGATACATTGACTATATATCAGTTAGTTTACGTTATCAAGAATTTGCTATTGAAGTGGCTATTAATCTTGCCCTCAGCATGCATGTTAATCAAGACCTAAGCATGTTACTTATGTATTAATATATTTGTCTCTTCTGAATTGTCTTGTTTGCTTCTTTAGTACATTATTTTCTTGCACAAATCAAAGCTCAGAAATGGATCCCAACAATTCATATGAATATTTCTAAGGCTAAAAGCCATTCTGTTTTTTCTATAGCACATCAGTCGTAATTGTGGTTAGTGAGAAGCCAATTCAGCTAGTTATTAAGATAACTAGTTATTAAAATAATAGCTAGTAAAGTAGTCTGTCCCAGGCCAGGCAATAAGAAGGAGGGTTTACCAGGAAACACAAGTCTTTAATTTTGAGCTGATAAAAATGCATTTGTTTAAAAAAAACTCAATGATTTTAAAAAAGAGAGGATCGGTTTAACACTGTTAACGTTTCAGAGCTTTGAATTAAAAATCTAATGAGTTACCTTTTCCTTCTTTTTCACTCTTACCGGTGTACGAATTGTACAAGCATTGTCTCTACAATGCTGCAGATTCCCATTAGTTTTAAACCCAAGAAAAAAAAAATTATCAGTGGCAATCTGGTCAGCAAAAAGCAACGTTAGAATGAATGTTTGTAGCCCAACAATTGGCTTTTTCTTCTCTTTTCATCCCACCTTAAAACATAAAGATTTCTATTTTCTCAGTATTCCTTCCTTCCTTCCTTAAAGGGAACTGCAGCTCTGGAATCTAATGCTATTATTTGCTAACTGCGATGACAACTATGCACTGGTTTGGCTTTAAATATTTGTATTTTGTTTTGCTTATTGCATGTATACACTTTGTGGAGGGTGCAGCTGAATAAACTAAAGCAAACTGCTTGAGTAAGAAATTTAACATGCTTTCCATTCAGCCAAGACAACAAACTGATGCATTCCACTCGGATACTAGTCCATTTTTACCAATTAAGAAGTGCAGATAAACGATTTCCTGTTTTCTCTTTTGCTTTTAACTCTAAACCTCCCACACTTAGCTGATCTTGCCCAGCCAGAAAAGCTTTCAATGCTGCTCTTAAATTAGCCAGTCCAGGTTCTATGGCAATGAGGTTAGGTCACTCCTCACCTTTGCTGCATCTGACAACCTGGCTGAGATTAACTCGCCATCTGTTCATAGGCTAGAATTAGGATCTGATTTGTCTCTACTCTAGGGTAAATTAGCCAGGTTTCACCATCAGTTATTAAGCAATGAGCCATTTCAATTCCATTGTTCACATCACAAGAAAATTAGTCTTTTGCTGATATGTCATTCTGTGCCAATAATAATAATCCTTGCATTTGATAATGCGCCTTATCATGTCTTCGAGAAGTCTCAAAGCTTCACAGAATATGCTGTAAAGTGAATTGACAATACATTTTGTAACCGCCAATTGCACAATGAGGAAATATAGGACATGTTTACAGCAAGCTCTGTTCCTCTGCTTCTTTCAATATTACTTTGTGCCATTGCATTGCTATTCTGTCATATCACAAAAAGTACCAATCTCTGCACTGCTCAATTTCGCACAAAATGGCAAGTACACTATTTGTGGACTCTTTTTGCAAATGAGGGAAGAGGGAGATCGGAAAGAGACCACTTCGCCATTGGACACCATCTGTTCACACAGTGTTGCAGCAGTGAGACAATTCTATCACAGATCACTTGGGTAGCAAAAAACGCTTAAGATGTTTTTTGTTAAGACAGCGGCACTTAGAGATCAGGATAAGAAATAGTGCAACACAGTATAATCACTCAATATGTAGTTTATAAACAGCAGTGCAAATATCTGAACTTTGGTCAGGCTACAGAAAGATACCGGGACTGTTAACCCAAATCTCTCCTGTTACTGGGGTCACTTCTGCTTCAGTCAGCTGCTCAAAAACAAGAACTAACCTTTTAGACGGCATTTTATTTTGACCAAAATAGGAATTGATTTTGAATTGTTTAGAAAAACGTTTGAAGCGGTGTTTTGCCATATTCTTCTAACTATAAATTACACTGAAAATAAACTTGCATGCTGCTAGCCATGTTATGTATAGTTCTGTAATGTTAAACGTTGAGAATTATATTTGACATTTCCCTGGAGTATTTTTACTGTTGACTTATCAAAATGCCACTTTTATAAGAAAAAAAACTTCCAGTTTTGGAAATCAATCCAAAGGGGTTGCCTTTTCAGTGGTTAAAATGTTGGGTCTTAAATTTGGATTTTTTTCAACTTTCAAAATGGAACAGTCTGGTTTGGTCACTCATTAGCAGGGAAACAGCAAATTCACTTTACAGTATATTCTGTGAAGCAGTTTGAGACGTCTCGAAGACATGATAAAGCGCTATATCAAATGCAAGGATTATGATTAAGTCGAGCGAACTTTTTGTCTCCTGAGGAGGAAGTGTTCATTAATCTTGTATTGAAATACAATTTGTGGAGTACCCTTGATGTTGGTTGTGGAGAAGTCCCTCATTTTAGCCTTGCTGTCTGAAAGAGGAAACCATCACAGGATATGAATAAGAGGAAATGAAGCATGCTGCACTTAAATAACTTGTACAGTAACAATGTCAAGTAACCATCCAATCTTGGTTCATCTTGCCTAACCATACAATTCCTCACAAGATTACTTGGATATATCTATCATTAAATCCAAACCTGTCGAGTTCCATTTTGAAAAACCACTTGTTTATTGTTCCACCACCTGTGCCAGTAGTCTGTCCCACATGCCTAGTACCATTTTATTAAAACAAATGTCTCCTGCGTTAAACACGCAGGTTGCTCTGGGTTATATTTGCTCATTGCTACACCGGTACAATTTAAAATTCACAAAATAACTATATCCCGTTAAGAAGGCAGGAGTGAGCATTGGCTCAGAATTGCTGGACCATTTTGCCCTCAGTAAGCCATGTATGCAGCTATTCTACCACACCAGAGGCCATAAGCAGCACTGGACAAACTGATGATTTTCAATTTAATATACTATATATTATACAGTTAATTCACTTTACAGTATATTCCTTGAAGTGCTTTGAGACATGTTGAAGACGTGATAAGCCGATATATCAATTACAATGCTTATTATTAAATTCCATTCCAAGAAACATGCCTGAAATAAAAGGTGAAACCCCAACGATAGCAGTGAAATGTGGGGCAAATATTAAACTATAATGTCACTAAGCCATCTCTGTGCCCCAAATGTGCCCAACCTAACCTCAACAGCTCACTCAAATAACTGAACGATGAGTTCCTCTCGCACTGGATTCTGCTTTAGTGGCTGGTTGATTGCAGATGTGCATTAGCGGGCTGTTTGCAGTTATTTAATTATCTCCACTCATTAATTTCAGAGAGAGAGAAAGAGACCTCCAGGATTATGCCAAAATTAAATTAACGGCCTGCGTGGGAAAAAAAATAGTGCAATTAAATTTTCCTGAAAAATGCCTTATTTTAACAGTTTGATCTCCACTTCCAGCGTGCTCTCTCCGGCAACTTTTCCGATACAATAAAGTTCCCAGTGCTGCACCCCAGGCAGAAAACATCTACATTGTTCACTTAGTGAATGTTTCGCTCACAAAATATAGTCGATTCACTTTACGGTATATTCTGTGAAGCGCTTTGAGAAGTCTTGAAGACGTGATAAGGAGCTGTATAAAATGCAAGGATTTTGAATAGTATTAGTGGGTTTGCAGCTTAGTCAAATGTAACGACAATTTGCAATAATATAGCGCCCTTCACACGGGGCAGCATCCAGGGGCGCTAAATAAATGAAATGTAAGAAAAAACATGTGAGGGAATAAATAGCTCAGGTCACTGTTGAACTTCGTACCATTTCAGCTAAATAATGCAGTAATGTTTATCCTGACTTCAAACCGGTCCATTCATAGCAAGTTGCTTTTCTTCCTTTGATTGTGTTTTATACTGGGAACATGGCTTGCCTAGAGGTTCTTTTACATTGACTATTAAAAAGAAATCTTTATTATTATCTCTAGCCACCACGCCTAAGATGCACGAGGCTGACCTGAGAGAAATGGAGGCATTAAGGCATCAGTTGGAAGACTCCCAGCGCTGGAATGCATCATTGCAGACTCGGTTTGGGCAGATGCAGACGAGGGGCGGTGGAGTGGGGGCAGCCAATGATTCTGGTATGCCATAACATTTCAATTGAGATACAGGCCATCAACAGAACACCCCATGGAGTTCTATCCCACATTCCCTTCGCCTCGCTCCCTCCCTTGCTTCCTTCAAGGCGCCTCCTTCAAGGCACATCTCAAGACCCTCTTCTTCGACCGCCCTCCCTCTCCCCCCCCCCCACACCCCACACACACACACACCCCACTCAGGTCCAAATCCCTGACTGTCCAGACCTTGGGACGTCCTCCTGATATGAAAGGCATTATACAAATGTAATTTGGTATTGTATATATCTTTATGTTAACAGTGTGCTATGATAATGCAGTTTAGTATAGATGTGTCAGCTTGGCTCAGTGGTCGCGCCCTCAGAAGGGACTTCCACTCCCATCGTCTAAGCTGACACTTCAATGCGGTGCTGACTGTTTTTCAGGTGACACTTTCACAACCTACGGAGACCAGACCTCGTATTTGAGCATTTGCCTGGGCGAGTACGATAACCTGGAGATAGGAAAGCTTTCCCTGCTAGAACTCAGGCAGAGGGTAAGATTGGCTTTTCATTTCGTTGCTCTCTTGCCCACGCCCCCACCCCACCCCACCACCATGTCAAAAATCAAGAGTTGAATTAGAAATGATTTTTTGTAGACGTGTAGTTTATTTCAGTACAGCAAACTTCTGATCGATGCTGACTTTTTTTTAAATACCCAGGTTATTGACCTTCAGATGATTGTGAAAGAATTGCAAATGGCTAACCAAGAACTCCGAGAAAGGGAAGTTTTGTCAGAGCGTTCTATATTGGGCTCTGAATCCCAAGAAAAGACGGATGTACCAGCAATGGCAGCTCAGATAAATGTAAGGAAGAAGCTCTGATTTTGGGGCTGGCACGTGGATTGCAATATTGTGCTCTGTTTCTAATTATTTAAATTATATTTTACCTCCAATGTTTTGCACAGATATTAAACCAATACAGACCTTGGTATGTACTGCAGGTTACTTGAATGTATGGAAATTAGTACAGAAAATATAATTTATAACATGGAGATGGTTCAATTTCTAAATACTGTGTATCAAGATGTCGGTGGCATTTAATAAGGATGAGGCTTTTATTGATTGCGCTGATCTATCCATCTAGTTCTGCGTTTGCCAGCTTACACTTATTTCAGAACTAATATCGCCAATTATTGGTGTCTTTAAGTCTCATGTTGAAGTAAAACATTTTTAAGGATACCCTGACTAACAATTTCAGACCTGAAAAATGTGTTCATTACCTTTTTTGTTCCAGGTCTTTTGTAATCCATTTTACATCCAAGACATGTCTTCATTATATTTCACTTGTATATATTATTGTTTTCATACTCCCAGATTTTTTGTTCAAACTCATTTTTTAAAATCTCATCCCGCTCCATGTTTCATATAGTTCCTTGAACAGAAGCTGGAAGAGTCCATGAAAACTATCACACATCTTCGGGAACAGCTACAAACCCTTAACCAAGCAAGTTCAGGGAGCGAAGGAATGGTAGGACTTCTTCTCTCTTCCCTTTCCGTATAGCATTGGTGTAATTGCTTTGTAATAATAAAAATAATCCTTGCATTTGATATAGCGCCTTATCACATCTTCAAGACATCTCAATCACTGATTGAGCTACCAAATTAATATTATTTGTAGAGATTATTGCCCCCTAGAAAGAGATCCGCCAATCGACTAACAAGTGGGCGCCTACTTCCTGCTAGGTAAACAGAGGGGTGGAGTCAGACTTGCCTAAGAAATCGAACCCAGGTTCTTTAATTCTTTGTTCCCTGGCAGCTTTGTTCCTCATATTACACATTTGTAATTTTGTAAGGATATCTGATTATAGTGTCAAGAACAGAACTGATCAGTTGTATAAGTCTCCTGCCTAGAGCTTTCAACAGTAACCATACACCTGCATTATTATCGCTCCATTTAACTTGTGTGTACTTTAGTTGTAGAACTTTCTGACCAATGTTAAAATATGAAATTAAGGCAGATTTAAGGGTTCAAACTTATATTGACCCGTTTTGACCTTTAGTATCCTTAAATAATTCCCAAACTATAGCACCTTTTAAGATACTGCGCAGCCTCTCATTGAACATCATATTTTTGTCTTACAAAGCAGGCGGTGTCTAAAGATGACAAATGTATGCAGACATCCCCTGAAATTCCACTCGTGTCAGAGCCTGTGTCAGGACAGGATTCCTCCATCCATATCCGTAAACCAGCAACTGGGAAACCTCAGGAGTTGCCTGCCTCAAGGTCTCGATCGAGTAGTGCCACTAGTATTGCTCAGACTGCAGACCTGGTTTTGGAGGAGCTAACCAGGATTAAACAGGAATTGGAGGACACGTCTAGACAGCTGCAGGATGTGACCAGCCGTCTGGAGATGACACAAGGCCGCCTGCAGGAAAGCGAGGCTGAGAGGCACAACCTGGAGCAGGAAGTGGACCTCATGAGGTCTTTGCTAAACGAGAATGGTGTATTATCAATTCCTGAGCTCAGGTAGGTCCAAAGACTTTAATTACACCCACCCATGCAGCATTCTCATCGATTTATCATATATATTGACGCCAACTTGCTAAGCAGTGAGAAAATAGACTCATTCAGCTCACACATCATGGAGTGGAGTTATATCAAAAAATAAACTTTAGGTTTCTAGGTGAGTGTACTTGCCTGTGGAACTTAAATGGTTAAGGCCGTAGTTAAGGTTGCACATCTTATTACATTAACCTTCACAGAGGGCTTTTGTAGCATCTTGTGCAGATCAGGGCTTTTGATTGAACTCGTTCATTCACAATCGTGTCCTTTCCCGATATTCAGACCGTCTACCTGTCCCCTGTTAATGGATTTATTTATAAAACCTCTTTTGCAGGACAGAAATTGTCAGGTTGAGAAGCGAAGTGACTGTCCTGCGAGATGGGCTTGGTGAAAATGTGTCCGAGGGAGAAACTGAGGACAGAAATGAAAAGACTGACGTTGACCTGAGGGAGCTGGTTACGGAGTTGAAGGTTAAACTTAAGAACAGCAAAAGGGTTAATGACTTCCTTAAACGGCAAGTGGAACTTAACTCTTCCACAGAGGGCGAGAACAGTTTTAACCCTGAGTTGATTGTAAACATGGCAAGAGAAATAGAACGTCTGGAGGCTGAACTGGAAGCTGCCAAACAAAAACGAGCGAGCATGGATGGAAGAGCTGAAGAAATGAAGAGGAAAGGGGTTCCACAAACGAATCTGCCACGTTCGAAGTCTTTGGAGTTGAGAACGCAACAACCAAAGAAGACCGAAGAGATATCTGATGGATCTGTTCGATCTGACAGCTCAGTCACTGTCACAGTAGGTTCTGTGCTATTTGTTTTTAAAATGACGCACAAAATATAGCACGTAGATTGATGATATATGGTAGATTATAGACTTACTTTTCTATCCCAGATGATTAAGGGTTTGCATCAAAGTCCTGTATTTTGTGTGTGTTTTTAACAACAGTAGCCCAATACAGGGGTGTTTAGCAGCTTGCCATTGTCTCAGAAATAAAACTAATGGTTTCAACATAGTACAAACTGAGCTGTAATGTTCATTTACTTCAGGTCAATACGAGGTCTCGTCTCCCTATTCCACTGAAGCAGACGAGATCCACCAGCAGTGTGAGCGTGGCCTCCAGCCAGGACACGGCGTCTGACAACCAGCAGCAAGTTGATCGGTTGAAGGGATTATTGAAAGACTGCAAACTGCAGAACAGGCAGCTGCAGATTGAACTGTGCACTGCTGAAGCAACAATTAGCAGCCAGGCAGAGAAATTGAAACTTCATTGTTCTCCCCAAGGTAAGCAATTTAGGATTATTTGTGAAGGATGTCGTCCATACCTTTGGTCAGTGTGTTGCATGTCTTAGAACAGCGGCCAGCAACAGAGTGAGTTTAACATTGATCCTCAAGACTCGATGAACATTTTCAGCGGGGTTTGTATGGCCTGTGGATACGTCATGAATTCATTTCAATGTCCAAACTAGGAGATACACTTGAGTTAATTTCCCTTAAGTCATAATTTTGCATGATATTAACTTTTTTGATGTTTTATAGGACTTCTCGAGTATAAATGATGGGGTGGCAAGGGGAGGTGGGGTCAAAATGTGCAAGTGTCAGTATTTGTATTTGGATGACGTGTTTTGTCTTATAATTTAAGGCCCATTTCTGGAGCTTGACTGCCGACAACTGCTACTTGCAAGATCCTCCCTCCCTCCTTCCCTCCCTTCCGTCCCTTTTCGCTGCAGCTTTTGTGTGTTACGAACTTTGCTTTTGTGCTTGTTTTTCCTGTAGCTGAGGCCTCTTTGGAGCAAGATGATAAAGAAGTCCAAGTGGACTTTCAGGACCTTGGTTATGAAACCTGTGGAAAAAGTGAAACTGAGGCGGACAGAGATGAGAGCAGTAGTCCAGGTAGATGGCATGAACACGGAAACCTGACTCACTCAATTCTCAAGGAAGCATGGGGGAAAGGACTGCTTTGGTCTCTGTTGAATGCACGCTTTTATTTTTCTTCTCGCTCGCTTTGTTGCTAATATTGTTGTGCTCATTAATTATTTTCAGTGCTTTTTTGCTTATTGTAAATGAAATCCTGATGTTTGTGAAATGACGGTGTGATTGCAGCTGCCTTGATCATTCAAGCCACTGATTGTGAGCAGGTTACAAGATTAATACCAGAGTTAACTGCCCTACAAACATCTCCTGGTTGGGTGGAGTATGAAGAGCTAAGGGTATAGGAGAGGGGAGTAGGAGGAATGGGCTTGTGTGAGGTATAAACACTGGTATGGACTAGTTGAGCTGAACGGCCTATTTACAACTCTGTTATTGTTTTTTAATGTTACAACTCAGTTGATTGAAAATAATAAATTGGCACAACAGACTGTCTTACATCTCTTTGCATGTTTTATTCTGTTGTGTTTGACCACGCATTTTCTAGTTGTTTTCATCTTTCATCTTCTTGGAACTTTGATAGATTACACATCAAACTGAGAAGGGTATTCACTGTTTGAATTTTTCCATTGAGACTAATCACATAAATAGTGCTTTGATATAAAATCTTTCCATTGACTTTGCTGGATTTTTATTTTCGTCAGACACAGCCAGCCGTTTGCCAGGCCACCACTGCAGCGATTCAAACATCCCGTCTCTACTTAAACTCGACCGCCGTTTCTTTTCCATGGAGAATCTTGACACCAACTCATCGACTTCCTACCCCAGCTCGCCAAGTTTGATTTCACCCAAAGTCAGCTTGAAGAACCTCAATGTATTTGACGAGTACGGACAGACCGACAACACAAGTGAGCTCCAAATCCAAATCCACGAACTGAAAGCGCAAATTGAGAAGTACCAGAAAATCGTTCACCACCTTCACGCTCGTATACGTAAGAATTCTCTATCGAGCGATCAGTTGACCATCTCCGATCACAGTCAACAAGCAAAGAGCTCCTACGAAGGGCAATATTTGGACCCGGTTCAAAAGGAGGACGTACATTGCTCCAGTCAGAGAAGACATTCCATACAGTCTTCAGACTTGTCTATTCGAATCAGGCAGAAGAAAGGAAACCATTTGGATCACATGCCAAGATCCCAAAGTATGGATTTCGGAAACCAGGACGATCGAGGAAGCTGGTCAGTATCTCAGTTTGCGGAGAACGGAGAACAGATGCAACAGCTGAAGAGACGAGTGATAAAGCTGGAGGATCAGATACAAAAAGAGAGAGCTATGAATGAGAGGCTTCAGGGACAACTGCGTCACGTCCAAACTAAGTTGGCAGCAGCATCCCCGGCAAGGTATCAGCGATCCTTTCCGATTGATTTATTTTTGAATAAAGCTAATCTGTAGCCAGAATCCAGGCTCTAATCCTAGCATTTGATATAGCTCCTCATCACGTCGTTGAGACGTTTCAAAGCGCTTCACAGAATATACTGTAACATGAATTGATTGTATATTTTGTAGGCGAAATGTGGAAGCAAATTGCGCATAGGAGTGTCCCTTAAAACCATTGTGGATTGGGTGACCAAATTATATATTTTCTATATTCCTGATCTATTAATAGAGACACTTATTAATAACTTAATGAATTAATAATTCACCTGAGAACCAGACTTTTGTGAGCTCTAGCTCCAATCTGGAGGATTTGAAGCTTGTTATCTACTGTAATAGTAACTTCCAGCAGATCAGGTTTTACAAATACTTCATTTGAAAATTTGGTATAACTCATACAGCAGCTATGGGAACAATAACTGGATATTTGATGGACGTATTGTAACTTGAGGGCAGATTTTTAACTGGCAAATTGGGCAATAACAATGACACATGTTCCATGTTCCTTTCAGATATGATCCACTAATACAGTCCCAAGCAAGAGATCTGTCGCACCTCCGCCAGCAAATTAAAGAAAGCTGTAATATCTGTACCTTGCACTACCAACAACTCGTGGGTCTTACCAAAGGCTTTGAGGAACTTCTGCAGGCCAGCGATGTTGATTATTACATCGGAGAGGCATTCCGTGAGCAGCTTGATGAGAGCTTGCAGCTGGTGGTTAAGCTGGAAGGCAACCTTGACAATGGTAAGCGACCAAACATTTCTGTCAAATAATAATAATAATAATAATATATCATAATATGCTGAAAGCTATACGCAGCTTGAAGGAAACATTTGTTTTTAAAAGAAAGCAACAAAATTGTTTGCCGTCTCTTGACGGCTCAGTTCAGCTTACTAGATGTTTGAGTGTTAGCACCAGCTTCTTGTAGGCTGTAAGAAGGGAGAAATGCAGTTCATGTTGCTTAAGATGATTTTGGGCGTAAAATGATTGGTCAGGCCTGACTGATGACAAGATTTCTTGGCTTGTATTCCTCAGCATGACTTTACAGCAAAGATGTTCAAAGTACATTTCTATATCAAATCGTGTTAGACCTTTGATTGTAATGCGGATGGTTTCAAATGGATGAAAAGGATTCATATGGTTGATCCCCCATTATTGTGCATTAACTTCAGCAATTTTACTGATTTTACTGACTGGTTCTATAGCAAATATAATGCATGTTGGATTACGCCCACAAATATACTTGAGACGTCGAGAAGACGTGAAAAAGCGCTCTATCAAATGCAAGGATTATATTATTATTACTGTATAAAGAACAATGGTCTTGGAATGCTAAATATGAACACCTTTTTTTATAATGAAAAACAATACAAACCTTAGATTTTTACTTCTGTGTTCTTTCATTCTTGCAGGGGAAATATCCTCAGTTGGTGGAGACCACACGTTTCTTGATTTGGCTCAAAGGTAAGCAATTTTTAGGTCAGAACTCTTTAATCAAAACTGGAATTTGCATCTCTTTATAACTGCAACCTGGATGAAACGGGCCAAATATTGCGTGAGATGAGATTGAATGAGCAGGATTTGGATAGTGACAGAAGTGTTTGTTTTGAATATTAATGCAACTTATAATGATCAGAATTCAATGCGATTTTGGTGCACATGACCAGGTGTTAAAATGTACATCCAAATTTAGTTCCAAGAAAGATTTTCTGTAGCTTTTTAAAGAAAAACGTATCTGTTAAAGAATTTGTGAGAGGGTTAAATCTGGTTATCTGATATCTAAATCAGATATGTATCAGTTTCGCCCACAAAATGCACAGTCACTACACTTTACAGTATATTCTGTGAAGCGCTTTGAGATGTCTTGAAGACATGATAAGACGCTATATCAAATGCAAGGATTATTATTAGATTGTAATTGTATGTCTCACAGTTGGACATTAGCAAACTGGTTCTGTGTAGCCAACTATCTTCTTGTCAGGAAAATATAGGTAGCTATGAATAGATGATTTGAATGTCCTGCATTCAGTTTATCTCAGCCATTGAACAGCCCAATTACACATAGGTTATGTAACTAAATCCGTTAATCCGTGCTAATTGCTTACATTTCATCTGTTTCACTGTAATAAGGTTTCATTTGACGCAATTCATTTGACTGAACAATGTACTGGAGCGAATTATGAGGTTTTGTAGAGCCCATCTTTCCAACTGATTTGAAATGTCATATACATTTAATTGTAATAACGACTAAATCAAGGTCAATCCGTGCTATTTACTTATGACTCATCTGTTTCAAACTGACGTATGTAGGTGTGCTGATCTGACCGATCAGAGTTCTTCAATGAATTATTTTAAGGTTTTTCCTAATTGCCTGAAATGTCAAGCGCATTAATTATGATGAAGAGTTATTCAAAGTTTCATCTAGGAGTGAATAGCTGACTGTGGAGAGGCCAGATAGATTAATGGTCTGAGCAGGCCTGACCACATTCATTTGCTTTCTTCTCTGCATTCATATTAAAGCTGCAAAGTTTTGCAAACATTTCCGATTAAAAACAGAAGGAAATCCTATTTGTAAAGGAGTTCTTGTGTACAGTTTATATTTAAATAGGCCTTTTTATTGGATTTAAATAGACCCATTTTTGCAGTATAATATTTAAACTGTTCTTTCGTCTGGTAAGTGCTTGACTAGCCTCACCTGCCCAGTACTCAATCCGCGACTGTTTGTGGGACACTGCTGTGCACAATCGGCTGCCACGTTTCGCCAACAAAATATACAGTCAATTTATTTTACGGTATATTCTGTGAAGCGCTTTGAGACATCTCAGAGATGTGATAAGGCGCTATATCAAATGCAAGGTTTATTATGCAAGGATTACTGCCATTCACACTCCCTTTGAAGGTCAGTTATGGAGATAGATATAGTAGTGAGCCTTTTGGGTAAGGAACTGGGGGTGGTCAGACAACAAGGATTTGCAGCTCCAAGTTAATTTACAGTGTTACTTTTAGAAGTTGGAAATGCAAAAAAATACTTACTGGGCATTTACATGATCTCAGTCATTTTTTTTGTGAAGCAGAATAAATGCGTTTAAAACCATCAAATCTCTCTTTAAAGCGTATCTTTTACTTGTAATTAGATTTAAGTAGTTTTAGTTTTATATGTATTACTGTTCACCTGTCAGACTTGAAAAATTATGTTGGCGGAGCATGAATCAGAATCTATACAAATTTATAAAAAGATCCATTTTCTAAAATCTCGGCATTTTTGGGCAGAATTTATTTGAACCACAAACTCTATAGCGGCAGAAATATTAACTGTTCTGAAGTACACTGCCTCTTGCAATGTCATACAGTAAATAGCTCCTTACACCAAAAGGAAACTTGTGACCAAGGTCTAAGCAAGAGTCTCGTTTGGAGCATTTAAGCAGGTCCATGATAAATTTCTGTTGAGGTAGATGCTGTTCCACCATGTATGATTAAATTGAATAATCTGCTGAAGCTGTGGAGTGGGACACTAATCCTTAACGCACTTGTTAATCTCAAACACCACTGTTCTTAAGATAATAGATCTTCTGAGTGCTCAACAGAGGAGATTTTAAAGCGAGAGAAATGGTCCTGTGTTCCCTCTCTGTTGAGGCGAAGCTGAACTGAAAGTTTGGGGCAGTATTTGTGTTGCTTGGGTGTGGAATGTTTGTACAAGTCGTTCAGTAACGATGAGTTCAGGGAAATGGAGGTCAGCTAACATGTGAATGACTTGCCTGATGCCTTCTGCTAACCTTCTGAAAGTTGCCAATGTCTCTCTCAACATTTTGCTTCCAAGCTATTTTGGTTTATTTTATTTTGCTTTGTATAAAGTGAAGGCAAAATGGCCTTGAAGCTTTTTCTCCGCGTTTAGGTTGCTGTGAGAAGATTCCATGCTCTCTCACTCACTCTGTGCTCTCACTACTCTGTACACGAATGCATAAGTGCCTTGGACATGCTTAGGGCACATTTTTGGCTCCTGGCGTGCATTTAAAGCAAACGAGCATGCTTTCCAAAATTAGCCCCATCTACCGAGAGTCTCTGTTCTCCTTCTCTTTGGCTAGTCCTCGCAACCTACAGCATGAAATTCTGTATCTTCGAAAGCAGCTTGAGAGTGAACGAAGTCAGCTGCAAAAGCAGTTGAATGACCTCCTGCTTCAGAATCAGTCCTTGTCACAGTCAACTAAAGAACAACTTGACCAGTAAGTTTATACTTCACATTGCTGCGATTAGGCTTTCTTTTTTTTTAAAAAAGTGTGATTTTATTTTCACTCTTTGAATGTGTGTGGCTACTGTTCAAATTAAACTCAGATTATGATTTTAAACTTAATTGGAAAATTAAGCTTAAATATCATACAAAACAGTGAGTGTTTTGTTATGAACAGATGTTTTGCCCACAAACGATAGTCAATGTACTTTACAGTACATTCTGGGAAGCGCTTGAGACTCACAATGACATGATAAGGCGCTATATCAAATGCAAGGATTATTATTTGAATTCTTGTGTCAATGATACAAAATGGGTGTTCTGGAGTCGGACTTTCTTGGTGGGAAAGGAAGCTCACTGAAGGACTTTGTAGTTGTATTTCTGCGTTGTAGCAAGCCTACAGCAATTTTGTTATGTATTTGTCAAGATACCTGCTTCCATTTCCTTTACCACAAACAAATTAAGATTCTCTCAGTGGAAAGTCATGTAAAATACTCAGTAATAGTTAGCTGCAATAGTTAGGTGTAGGTGAGGGTGCATCCATTCAGGATATCCCATTATCTTTACAACCTTCTCCAGCCCTATTCTCCATCTTCCCTCTCTGGAACTCTCTTCAAAAATCCCTTGGCCCTGCTTTCTTTTCTTGCCTTCAACTCCCTCCTAAAACATCTTTCTGATTATACCTTTGATCCATATCCTCAAATTCCCCCCCTTTTTGTTGTTGCTTGGTGATTTCCCATCATCATTGTGACTTGCTTTGAGAAATTCATCCTACGTGAAAGGTGACATGCACTTCCTTCTGTATGTGGAGGATAATGAAATGGGAACACTTCGAATTTAACTTAGAGGAAATTACAATGCGTTTAATCTGACCATTTTTCTTCTCTGCAGACTTACAAAAGAGGTTCAGGAGAAGAACAAAACCATTTGTCACCTGGAGCAACAGCTAAGAGCTCAGTCGCACATGTCCAACAGCCACCTCTCTTCATATTGCGAGGCATCGGATCAGAGCTCCGTTCGTTCACACGAAAGTCGGTCAACCACTCCCGAAGCACGGAAGATTGGTGAAAACCTAATTCACGACTACAGTGTTCGGCACAGTCGTTTACAGAGGAGGCTTTCGCAAGATTCAGACGGTACATTGCGTCTTTTGCTGTTATTATTGGGCGGTTTTTGCCTTTGAAAAAAAACTACTTCGTGCCTACTGTGTCCTCCACATATAAAATGATACTCTGCTTCCTTAGAAATCTCTCTCCAATCAAAATAGTTGCTCTTCCATTGCATTCTACGTCCATCTATCTATACAAGTCTCTTCAGGTTTAAAAATTACTCAGATGTATTCCGTGCAGAAGGTCCATTCTGTCCCGCACATTGTAATTTCTGAATTTGAGGACACTAGAATTCCTTTAAGAGTCTGAAATTATTAGGCGATTTAGCTTGTAGGTTGTCCAACTCACAGCGACTCAGAGGACTGACTAGGATGTGGGTACACCTTACACTTCCTGTTCAGTTATCTGGGTCAGAGTGGGCCAACCTTTTGGCTGGTGAGGGCCGGATGCCCTATTTGAGAAACGGCCGCATAAGTGATATTTTTGTGTTCCCTTCCAGAGACATCACATAACAACAACCTTTACGGGTTATGAAGGGAGTGGGTGGGCCAGATGAAATGGAGTGGGGGATGAAATTGGCCCGCGGGCTGCCAGTTGGTCTGTCCTGATCTATACTGTCCTGAAGGTCCAACACAACACAGCAGCTTGCCCAGGGAGGCAAGAGAGGGCTGACGAGTGAGCTCTCCTTTCAGTATGACCAGAACAGCAGTCTAGAGTCCAGTCACTTGCCCTCCCTTTCCACTGTGGCATAAAAGGGAGAGGAAATAACGAGGAAGGCAGATTTTACAAAACTCCAAAAAAACAGAATTAAATTAATTTAAAAGGAATAGAAAGAATTTAAATCCAATTGAATATTCCTTTCACCTCCTGCTTCCCTTCCTCAAAACTGTAGATCTGTTGATTATGTTCTAATACAGTGCAGTTTCTTGCATGTTTTTATTCATTTCAGATGTTGAGCCTATAGGCTTCATTAATAACCTGTGTTCAATATGTAATGAAGTGTTCTTGTCACAACAAAGTGGGTTTTGAGGCCAGATATCTATTCATGCAGATCTATCCTTGACTGCTGCTTTGCAGGGAGGGTTCAGTAACCTGGTGCAGAGGTTAGATATTTGTTTAAAAACAAAATCCTATTAAACAAAGCTCTAGTAGTAATAATAATCTTTGCATCTTATCGCATCAGAAGGACGTCTCAAAGCTCTCACAGGATTCACTGTGAAATGGAGTGACCAACAACAAATTGCATTTATATAGCACCCCTCACGCAGGGTAACGTCCCAGAATTACTATATTTGTAGGCAAATGCAGCTGCACAATTGTGCACAACAGTGTCCCACAAACAGCTGTGGAGTGAGCAACCAATTTTATTTGGGGGATTGTTGGCCAGGACACCAGGAGAGAGAAACTCCCTTCTCTTTTCGAATAGAGCCATGGGATCTTTAACGTCCACCTGAACAGGCTGGCGGGACCTCTGGTAGTAACCAATATGAAGAAAGATTAATAATCCAGTCCTCTGTTTATTGTCTTGAAAGGACTTTAATTCACTAACATGAAGCAAACGCGGGTAGCTCAGCTGGTGTAGCTTTCCTTCGTGGCTTACAAAGCTGCATAATTTATCGCCAGTATCCTGTTTAATCTGAAAGGCACACTTATCAAATGGAAACCAAAGACAATATGATTGAATTCCTTTGATACTGGCATGAGCAGGTTCCCAGGGCTGGCTGCAGGTGTACTGCCTGATTGGGTCACTTGGCGATGTTAGAGTCGGGATCCTGGCAGCAAATCCTCATAAAAGTCGATATTCAAAAACAAATCGGAACAATTTCGCTATCGCTTAGGTGGCTCGAGTTTCTAAATTTCTTCAAATTAAAGCGGTGAAATCCTCAACTGAACCTCTGATACCAATGATGGGAATTGACGAGGAGAAAGTGAGCAGTGAGGAGGTGAAGCGAGGGAACGTCATTTGCGTGCGTGGGAAATGGAGGAAAATAGTTAGAGCTGCTAAGGAGGAACGGGCAGGTACAGTGAGTGGCATGTGCTTACATGAAAGCTGCTGTTAAAAAAAAACTGCAAGTTGCCTTAGCAGTTGCAATCTTTAACTGCTAATAAAACTGATGTGTGCGATGTATGTTTCCATACTTTTGAGGGAGTATTATTTGCAAAATTCAGTTGGGTGGTGATATTTTCCAAGAGTTTACGCAGGCCCTTCAGAGAAGGCATCAGAATAGCTTTGAAGACTTTGGAGACAAGAATTTCAAATTATATTCAAAGCTATTTTCTTTTCTTCTCGTATTTGTTGACAATTTGTGAATTTCTACTGTAAACGTCTTCAAGCGGCTGATTTGGGGGAACTCTAGCTTTGTGGCTTGCTCCTCCCTACCTCTGTGATCCATTGACAGCAGATCAACATCTCCGCACGGCGGGAACTGGCCTGCTCCATGTCCCCCAGCCTGCCCGCTCCACCATTGACAGTTGGGTCTTCAGCTTCTCTGCACCCATTCTCTAGAACTCCATCCCGGAATCCCTCTGCCTCACCCCTTGCCTTGCCTCCTTGAAAGTCCATCTCAAGAACTTCCTCTTTCACCGTGACTTCACCCACCTCCTACTTTTTACCCTTTGGGTGCAAACCCTTGACTTTCCAGCGCTTTGGGATATCCTTCCGACGTGAAAGATGCTATATAAATAAATGTAATTTGTTGATGTTGTTGAAGCCGGAGTTTTATTTCTTTAGTGTGGGTACTACAGATAAAATAAAGACTCTTGTATGACTGTTGGCTCCTTTATGTTGCTGTACTTTTAGCTCAGTCCACTGAATCTAGGACTAATTTAGAATTCATACAAATATTATGATAAGTTCTTGTTTTTACCAGATATTGCCAAGTACCGATCATCTTCTCAAAGTGGTTTCTCAGCTGCCGGCTCGAGTACAAACCTGCAGATTAATGAGCAGACGGCAGAGCGAAAAACACGGTCTGGACTTTCCATCACTCCAGATGACAAGGCGCTACATCCTGGTTTGTATTCATTTTTTAATGATATGTGATCTACACTTGTGTTGGCCACTGGGTGAGAACTTTATGTAATGCTATTAAGTCTTCAAAGTTTAAAGAATTTATTTTTTTAAAAAAAGATTTATTTAAAGATAGTGAAATTGGATTGTAAGGCACTCACCACTGCCATCAACGGCCCTGGCATATCTTTTTCAATATCTTTTAACCGAATATATGTCTCTGCAGCCCCAAAGTGTGCACTTACTTCTTATGTCAATACAAAATACTCATAATAATTTGGTCTCAACGACGTGATAAGGCGCTATATCAATTGCAAGGAATATTCTTATTATGTCAGACTCCTAGTCAGTGAGCATGTTCACAATAGAAAATCAGATTGTGTAGCTTCCTAAATGCAAATCGCGTTTACAGGTTGTGTTTCTAAATCCATATGCCAGAATACTTTTATTCACAACTGTCCCACTCTAGATTTGGAAACTGATTTGGCTTGACCTTTACAATGGTGGCAGCAAATATTACCATTGTTCAAAATGAATTCTCATTAAGTGAGCATAATTTCAAGATTTTGATGACTTTAGTTGCATTTGCAGACGTGATGTATAAAATCCTCTTTGTCTTTCTACTGTACAGAGGATGTGGCAGGGAGCCCATTGCCAGTACAAACGTTGCCTCACAGTGACAGGACAAGTGAAAATGTTGGTGCTCAGACATCTTTGCTTAACCAGAAGCTGTTTGAGCTGCAGAGAGAAAACGCCACCTTGCATGACCAGCTGAAGAGCAAAGAAGACCTGAATGAGACATTGAGGACGGAACTGGACTTGCATCGATCCATCTTGACAGAGGGACAAGAGGGGACTGGTCACCAGACCACTCGCTCACTCGACAGTGATCGGTCTTTAAAATCGAACCAGCAGATTGCAATGTCCAAAGAGCAAAGATTTGACTCTGGCCTAAGTGCTGCAGGTATGACATTTAATGAAGTGCTTTGAGGCATCTCGACGATGTGATAAGACACTACATCAAATTCAAGGATTATTATTAATAGTCAGGTCATTGGTTGGAGTACATCTGTAAAGGACACTTGAAATCTGAATTGTGTCTCGTGTTTATCCTCGTTTCCCTCCTTTGCATATACGTGAATCAATAATTTAAAGGGTAATAATCCCTTCAAAAAAATATATATTTTGGTCACTCAATCCACGACTTTGTGGGGACATTGTGCGCTGTGCGCAATTGGCTGCCGCGTTCGCCCACAAATATACAGTCAATTCACTTTACAGTGTGTTCTGTGAAGCGCTTTGGGACGTCCTCCTGACGTGAAGAGCGCTATATCAAATGCAAGGATTATTATTATTATTATTATTGCTATGCCCAATTGGCTGCCACATTTCCCCACAAATAAACAGTCAATTCACTTTACAGTATATTCTGCAAAGTGCTTTGAGATGCCTCAAAGACGTGGTAAGGCAAGATATCAAATGCAAGGATTATTGTTATTATCTGAGGTTGCTGTACAGTGAGGTTCTTTCATGTCATTTCAGAAGTGGAGACACTTGCTGAGCTTCGTACTAATGCAACCTCTTTTTACCTTAGATTTATTAGCTGAGCACCTTCATGAAATCCGCAGCCTGAGGGAGCGTCTGGACGAATCGATCAGAAACAACGACCGGTTAAGAGAACAACTTGAGCGGCGACTGGCTGAAGCTGAGCGTGATCCAGGTGATCAGACATTCCTGCCACTTGCTACCTGTGCTGAGAAGCAAAACCCACAAAAATAATCAGAACTCCGTTAGAAGGCGGATGTCGGAAGTCCATAAAATTCCAACCCGATGGAACTGTCAGCAACAACCTAAAAGTTGTCCCTATGTTTTAGTGCAGGGATCAACAGCCTATGCTGAAACCAACCTCGGGTCTATAGGGCAGCCATCTTATAAGCAAACCAGTGGGGATAGGGACCTTAGTCCACACTCCAAACCAGTTTGGCTAAATCCAGTGTTAAATGTACAGTCAATTCACGTTACAGTACATCCTATGAAGGGCTTTGAGACGTCTCAAAGACGTTTTAAGGCTCTATATCGAATGCAAGGATGATGATTATTATTATTATCTATTCAACAAGCTTCAGCTCTGCCCTGCTCTTCTCCCACCCGGCTTAAACAAAATCCTCCGCATGGTTGCCAAAGTCACTGCAGATCCTGAGATCAGCTTGAGTTAAAACAATTCTTCTCGCTTTCAGCTTCCACAAATATCTTCATCCACGGCTCAGAAGAACACAGTCACCTGACCGACAAGATTCATTACCTGAAAGAACAAAACCAGGCTTTAAAGGAGGAACTGATGAGAGGTTCACGGGGTAAGTGTTTGAGCGAGTATTGCGCGATCAGGAGAGACCAGTCCTGTAGATAGAATCATGGAATATTACAGCGCATAAGGAAGCCATTCGGCCCGTTGTGCCTTTTCCGGCTCTTTGAAAGAGCTACCCAATCGGTCCCACGCCCCAGCTCTTTCCCCATATCCTTTTGAAGTTCCTATCCAATTCCCTTTTGTAACTTGTTATTGAATCTGTTTTCAGCACCCTTTCAAGCAGTGCATTCCAGACCATATGAGTTCAGGGAATTCCAGATCAGGGAAAATAATCTTCCACAATGAGTATTAAATAGTTTATTTCCCGAAACTTTCATCTTGATCTGTTCTCCAAGAAGCCATTTGAAAGCTTTTGAATGTAGCACATTGGGTTTGCAATAGAGTAATAGTTTATTATAATCCTTCCATTTGATATAATGCCTATAAACATTTCAGGGCTTTTCTCAGATGATTTCTCACTCGTGCATAGTGGTCATACAGGGTGACTAAAAAGTTATGATACCATTACAATGTCTAATAAGTAAATAAAGAAATGATTTTTTTTTTAGATGATAGAGTAGCTCAGTGGTTAGAGCACTCACCTCGCAAGCGAGAAATCTGGGTTCTATTCCCGGCAGGACAAAACCTTGGGCAAGTTTCCTTACTCCAGACTCCTGATAATAATCCCTCAAAAAAAAAAAAAAAAATTGGTCACTTCAATCTACGACTTTGTGGGACACTGCTGTTCGCAAATGGCTGCCATGTTTCGCCCACAAATGTACAGTCAATTCACTTTACAGTATATTCTGTGAAGCACTTTGAGGCGTCTCGAAGACGTGAAAAGCACCATATCAAATGCAAGGATTATTATTATAGCTTCACGACTTTTGGTCTCCCTGCATTTGTAGGTTAGTTGACAATGTCGTCAAACTGGGAAATGAGTAGTTGGAAATTGCTGAGAAGAATAGGTCTGATGTTTATGAGGTGTGAAATCGTGGAAATGAGTTGAAACTTTCTCTTGCAGACAAGCAAAGGGAAAACGAGAAACTGAAAGAGTCGCTTTCGAAGAGGAATGTCACCATCGAACACCTGCGCAGCGAGTGCGAGCGAGTGAGGAGGGAGCAAGGGCGACTGCAGGCTAAAGCCAGCAGCGGTCACGAAGAAAATAAACGACTCACTGACGAGCTGCATCAAAGTTGCGATGAAATCAACAGGTATTGGTTGAAGCGCTCCAGGACGCTACCCCACCTGCAGGTCGCTATATAAGTGGTTGTTGTTGTTCTTGTTATTCTAGCAGTTGGCAAAGTCGCAAAGCAATTTAATCCAAAACTGAAATAGTTCGGGAAAGCAAATAGTTACATCTGTTTGAATTAACTTAATGGTTGCAAGTTCCTTTTGTGAGACTGTGTGATCTTTGCCTGAGGAATCGGCCAGTTAGAAGGGTTCATGTGTTTCTTTGTGTATTAGCTACTAGGTAGAAGGTTGAATTTAACTTGTGGGGGGATTGTTTTTGAGAGAAAGTTAAAAGGAGGGCGTGGTGCACAGATTGGGTTTTGCTAGTTTGCTTTCTGTGACAGGTTACAAAGAGAGCTCGCCTTACAGAACGAAAAGGTTACAGAGAACCAGCAGCTCCTGAAATCACTACAAGTTGAACTTCGAGTATACGAGCAGCTAAGAGAAGCCAAGGAAAAGAAAGCAGGTATTTATACAGCCACATACATACACACCATATACATACATACGTAGACACACACACACACAACTTAAAGCTTATCACATCTAATCTTGCTTCACATAAAACCTTGGCAAAATGATTTGCTTTAATTGAGATGTCAAACAAAAAGTTTTTAACCTCGGTCGATGCTTATTTCAGATAAGTCGATGTCACGGGTCAGATTTTTTTTTGGCCTCTCTTTGTTAGAATAGCTGTAAAGGAATTTTCAGGGTTACCACAATCTCACAAAAACCTCACAAAAACATTTTCTCCCCACCCCTAGAACCCTCACAAGATGCGACCTGTGGGCCAGCAAAGGATTCCCAGGGTCCACTTGATCTGAGTGAACTCCTGGCAGAGATCCGCAGTTTACGGATTCACCTGGAGCGCAGCATTCAGACTAACAATGCTCTGCGCCAGAAGCTTGAAGAACAGCTTCAAAAGGGAAGTGGGAAGAACGACAGCAGCCCATCCACTATTAATATCAATTATCTTCTGGCTAGAGACCAAACATCTTCTGGGAGCAGACGCTTTTATCAAGGTAAGAATTTGATTCCATCTCCTTTCTATTAAGAGAATCGATGTGTTAAAAACACCTTTAAATTTGGAGGAATAATAGCGTATGAATGTAGCTGATGTAATATGAAGATCTTGTTGCTCAGTAATGATGATGTACGTCAGCAGGGTGTGGATGATAACCCACATCCTGCCCGTATCATAAGAAAAATAGGGGAAATCATTAAAGAGCAGATGAACAGTGTATTATACAGTATTTCTTTGCAGATTAATTCAATTGTAATTAAACTTTGACCATCCTCTTCAGATAAATGTTAATAATTATCCTTGCATTTGACTTAACACTCTATCTTGTCGTTGAGACTTATCAAAATGTTTCACAGAACATACTTTAAAGTGGGCGAAACGTAAATGGTTCTGAGAATGCCATTTCAATATTCAACTATTTCCTATAAATGATGGGCATGTTACCAGTAAAATGATGTGTGTGTGTTTACCACAATGGCTCTCCTGACTCTTAACACTCACCAGTGTTATAATCCTACTGTTGTGTTTGACAGATTTCAAAGCTGACAGATCTGATGCTGCTGGAGATGGTAAAGAAACCTTCCAATCTCTTGGAATCCCAACTCCAAAACCTGCCGATTTCCCCCCAGAAGTCAGTGTCACAGATGGTTTACTGTTCCGAATCCCGGGTGAGAATATGCCAAAATGACTTTCCGATTGAATTTATGCTTGAAATAGATATTGCACTAATAGTATTGACCCAATGTAATTTTGACATTGAATTAATATTACTAAAAGGCGCATGTGGAGTCCTGTAGCTCAGTGGTTAGAGCACTCGCTTTGCAAGTGAGAGACCTGAGTTCAATTCCAGGCAGAGGGCGAAACCTTGGGCAAGTTTCCTTACTCCACACAGAGCCTAATAATATTCCCTCCAAAACCAAACACAATAATAAATTGGTCATTTTCAATCCACGACTGTTTGTGGGACATTGCTGTGCGCAATTGGCTGCCGCATTCGCCCACAAATATACAGTGAATTCACTTTACAGTGTGTTCCTTGAAGCGCTTTGGCACGTCCTCCCGACGTGAAAAGCGCTATATCAAATGTGAGGATTATTATTATTATTATTATCCCTTTTTTTTAAATCCGTGTTAGAATGTTTGGTATTCTTGCACGTGTATTTTTGTCTGTAATTAAAAATAATTTAAAAAGGGTAATATTTAAATGCAATATTAATGAATCCGCTTTCCATTCCAGGAGTCAAATCTCTGCCGAAAGATGACGTTGACAGCTCGTCACACTGCAGTGACAGTTCAGTGGAGAATCTGTCACACAAACCCGCCAGACCTGTGTTAGGCCATCGGATCTGGGCGGACAAGAACGGACGGCTTGTGGTCGGGCTGCTGGAAGACTACAGTGCGCTGCGCAAGCTAATCTCAGAGGGACGGCTGCTGATTCGGGCCATGGACACCCGCCTCCGAGATTGTCTCAACACCGTTGCTCAACGGTCCACAGGCTCAAAGGTAAAGCTTTGTACTTGAAACACGGGGAACTATTAGGACAAACACTGAGTAACTCCATGAAAAATACAGTAAACGCCTCATAACTCATCACTCCAAGGGAACGAGTTCAACAACAAAAACAAATTACATTTACACGGCGCCTTTCATGTCGGGAGGACGTCCCAAGGCGCTGGGCAGTCAGGGATCTGCACCCGAGCTGGTTGTTGTGATCAAGGAGGGGAGAGGTAGAGTTCAGTGACGAGTGATGATGCCCTGCAACAAAGCATCTCACTTCTGTTTAACAACAACAACTTGCATTTATATAGCACCCTTCACCTGGGGTAGTGTGTCCCAGAGCGCTTAACGCCTCCTCCGTCAGCACGGGTGAAATTCGGGGGAACTTCTTTCAAGTGTAAATTTGGGCGCGACGCCATCACCCCGCCAGTGCTCAGAGCAGCTTGTTGTAGGTTCTGACCTGCACTGCGATCACTTGCACGCTTCACAGCTGTGCTGCTTGGGAAAGTGATTTATTTAAGAGTCTGATTCACCTCGGGCTGTGTTTCCCTCTGCTTCCAGGAACCAGATGAACCTTTCTTAAAGGACTTCTCGTCGGATATCAGCGCCATGCAGCGGCTGCTCGAGGAAGCTGGGCGCTTTCTAAAGCTCTTCTGGAGGGTTTCCCTGCCAAGTCCTATGGCCAACGCTGGGGGTCAACACAAAACGGTACAAACAGCAGAGAGACCGCAGTGCAGAAGGCCTCGTTGGTTTTTGCTGCTTCCCTAATAATTTATTTTATCTTTTCCCGTGTACTTTTTTGTGTCTGTAATACAACAACAAATGACATTTCACACAGCGCCTTTCATGTCGGAACAACATCCCAAGGCTCTGGCCAGTGATTTGGATCCGAGCAGAGGGTTGGTATCAGGAGGGGTGGGAGGGTAGGGATGGTAGGAGGGTGACCAAAAGCACGGTCGAAGAGGAGGGTTGTGAGATGGGCCTTGAAGGAGGCAAGTGAGGGGGTGAGGCGAAGGTGAGAAATTTCTGGAGTCCTAGGGAAAACATATACCTAGTGTCATCAGTCCTAAAATGCTACTTACGAGTTCAGGTTCAACAGAGAAGTATAGAAAGTTCAGTCAGCAGATAATGGCTTGAGCAGTGAACAAATTCACCATCGCCACAAAGCTTTGTGTTTGGATTTGGATTTGGCCAATTTCTTTATACTGGCAATGTGTTCCAAAACCTGATTCATAATAGCAAGTGTTGTCTCCTAACAGTTACAGAACAGTCTCTCTGTGTGAATTCCTCAGCTCACAAAGTAATGATACAGCTCATTTGCCCAAGATGTACAGCAGAAGCCGAGTTTTCCTGATTTCTCTCTGATGCAGTTGCCCCCTGGATAGGGGATTGTCAGCTTAGGCTCCATATCGGCAAACACTGCTCTTTGGCTTCACTACGGACGGTGAAAAGAAGCTTCGAGTTTTACTAAAGCTGCCGTCAAATAATGAGCTTTTAAAACTCTCAATTGCATGATAAAACGGGTCTTTTCTGACCACACTACTAACTCCTATGTAATATATGTGTGCAAATGCTTTTCCTCATTTAGGACAAAATTGTGAAGGACGAAATACATCAGCTGCGGAAGAAATTGACTGAACAGGAGAGGCTTCTGTACGGCACGGTTAAACGCCTTCGCACAACAAACCAGCTTAAAGAGGGCATGGAGAAGGTCATCATTGACCAGTGTGAGTAAACTCCATCCTGCAAACATATGGGGGGGGGCTATATAAGTACAAGTTGTTGTTACTTTTAAACCAGTTTCTAACATAAACTTCTGTCCCCTTTTAAAGTGTCGCTGACCCACAATGTCCTGAAGACGGCTAGAGGAAATCTGGAGGTAAGAACATTTGAAGAAACACAAATCTTTGATAAAACATTTAAAACATGCCGACCGACCGGGGCTGTGGACACTAGAGTTCAGATGTATTTGTACCTTCTCCAAATCAATCCTCTCGACTCGTTGTAAAGTTGTGAAAGCGGTACTTTATTTTGACAAAGCTCCACATCATCAAATGTGAGTTTGAGCTAATTTAGTACTGGAGATATTGGCTGGAGATATTTCCTGCGGGGTAGAATCATAGAATATTACAGGACAGAAGAAGGCCCATCGGCCCATTGTGTGTGAGCCGGCTCTTTGGAAGAGATACACAATCAGTCCCACTCCCCTGCTCTTTCTCCATAGCCGTGCAAATGTTTCCTTTCCAAGTACCTGTCTAATTTCCTTTTGAAAGTTATTATTGAATCTGTTTCCACCAGCCTTTCAGGCAGTGCATTCGAGACCGTACAACTCTCTTCTGCCAGTGGAAACAGTTTCTACCTATCTACTCCATCAAAACCCCTCATCATTTTGAACATCTTTATTAAATCTCCCCTTAACCCTCTCTGTTCTAAGGAGAACAATCCCAGCCTCTCTAGTCTCCCCACATAACTAAAGTCCCTCATCTCTGGTACAATTCTGGTACATCTCCACTGCACCTTCTCCAAGGCCTTGATATCCTTTACAAACTTGGAACAGGGATTTTTTTCCTCTTAAAGTCTGATTACAAAGAGTTCTAGTGTAAACCTGGTCTCCAGCTCGCTCCTGATGGGCACTGACACGGCTTGGTAACAAGGTGACCTCAGTCTTGCCCATAGCAGTATGGTCAATATATGTTCACAGGTGCTGAGCTCTCCCACATATGCAGTTTCTAACTATTATTTCCCAGGGATGTATAATAATAATAATCCTTGCATTTGATGCTTAGTATGCTCAGTATTCTAAGTTATTTTGAATGTAATGAAGTGGCGCTTTTAATTGCAATGTATTTTTTTTAGAGCATATTTACGAAAAGACAACAGTTCAGCGGCTTGCAGTTGGGTTTGACGTTCTCTCTGCACTCCCGCTCTTGCACATTTCTCTGTGTCCATCTGTAAACGCTTGTGGTTGTGAACTTCTCATTTTGCCTTTTCAAACTTATTCACTTCAATGTTTTATTCCTCTTCCTGTCTCCCTCCTCCTCCTCTTCTCTCCTTCGTCTGAGCTGTTGCAGATGAATCATTACATGGTATTTGGTCTTAAAGGCTTTCCGAAGCCAAGTGAAGGTTGGTGAAGCATTACTGCTGCATGCTAGTGCCTAGTTCACATCCATTTTAAGATCCTGTTCTGGGTGGTGTCAGGTTGGAGTTGGCTCGATGGCAGTTGGCCGAAGATTGTCCCAGTTGCTTTATAAACCCACACACCTAGTTTTCAAGCGCTAGCTGGACTGACCAGCGCTATTTAGCGCTATACAGTAACACAGTTCACTCACTGCTCCTTAAAGGCTATGTAAAGTTTTGAACCGTTTGATCCAGATTCACACATTGGTTCCATCCTAGAACTTGATCATTTTAAAAGCTCAGTGAACCTGGCATAAGAAGATTGCATGGCGGGTTAATGGTTTCTGCGTATTTTCCTGATTTCTTGACCGCTCAGTGATTGGTGTCGGTTGAATTCTGCTGTGTGTAGTTTTAGGTTTAGTGAAAGCTGAAAGTACTCCTTTTTCAGCAATATATTTTATTTTGTATATCAATAACAGCTGTAATGTAATCAACAAATGGGAAGGAGTGAAATATTTGACTAGATGTTGATGTCCAAAACATTCCGTTTGGCAAAATGTAAAGGATTAAGGAAGACAGTAAAAAAAAACTCATAAGTTGCTATCACTCGATAGTTCCACACACCACAATACTAACAACATTGACAACACTGTGATCTGTTAATTCTATATACCTACATTTATTTTTCATTGCCATAGTTTTTGTGCCAATTCTTAGATTCCACCCACATTAAGGGTTATTTTCTATATAATGATCGAGAGTGGCTTCACCTACTGAACTGAGTGATTGGTAACACTTATGACTGCACATCTTGGAGGAGGGAAAACTGCTGTATAATATTCAATAATTTCACTTAAGTGGGGCGGTAATCCTATTGTTTTCACAATTGCAGTAGCAATATTCACGCAATTTTCACATGGAACAGTAAAAGATTGATGGGTTAGGATATTATTTGCGGAACAAAGGATATGTAATCTTTTGAAATTGTAGATATACGCAAACCAACTAGCTGGCCGGCCGGCACAGGGAGAACAAACAGACTGACTTCCTGTTGCTTTGCAATTTCTTATTGATCTGCTCACATGCACAGGTACTCGCTCGCTGTACTTCTGTGACATGGTGTGTGTGGATCCTCATCTGCTTGTGGTGCCTATTGCAAAACAGTTGGAACCACATTTTCTTTTGACCGCAGTTATTTTGTTGTGTGGTATTTTGCAACTCGCTTGGAAAGTTGTTTGATCACTTGACTCTGATAGAACAACCTAGTGGTGTCTTTGAGATGTATTTTGGTGGAATTTGTTTTTCCTTCTGTAGACACAACCCTCCGATATCCCCCTGGTAAATGGGAACTAATTAATCCAGCGGCCCTCGATGGCAGCGATTCCAGCAAAGATGCTGCCTCTACTTCTGAAGAGAAACACGACTCCTTGACCTCATCACTTTGCAGCTATTGAAGAAATAACTATTTTTAAATGCCCGTATTGTTTTGTTTAAAAACATGATTTGAGCTTTTTTTGCACAAGCTGAGTGCAGAGTGAGATCTGCATGTCTGTCCAATAAACCCTTCTCAAATACTTTGCAAAGGACTTTACACTCTGAACGGTACAGCTGTGATTTCAGATGTTACCTTAAAAAGTGAGATGAGCAAAAAAAAAGGGATTTTTATTCAAATGGGATTGTAGAAACAGTGTTTAACAGTGTTAAAATACTTTTTTTTTAAACTGCAGACTTTCAGCAATATTGTAACTTTGACCTCTGGTAAAATAGTTTTAGATGTGAACCTCTGTACATTCCCTCAGTTTAACAATAAGTAGACTGTAAAAAAAATCATTTTGTAAATAATAGAGGGGGTGTATGTGTTTTGTTGCATGATTTTTTTAATTCTGTGTAACGTCTCTTTTGTGGCTGTTGAGATGCATGTTTTAAAAGGAGACAATGGTATGTATACTGCCTTGCCCTCAAACTACTCCTTTTTTTATTGTAAAGAATTCTTGCGAGCAATTCCAAAGTGTGAGAAAGGGCCTGCCTTACTGTACATTTTGCTGGAATGTATGGACCTCAATCAGTGTTCTTTATTTTTCTTAATACATTTTTATATTGTCACTGAACTTGTCATCCATTTATTTCTTGATGTCTGTTCATTTCGTGTTGCCTCTGGACTTGAACATATTTCAGGCAGTGGCAGATATTAATAACCAACACTATTTGAATTCATCTTGAATTTAATGCTGTGATCTAACTTTGAATGAGTCTGAACTACACAGAAATTCTCATCCGTTGCCACCTTTATTACAAAACACTCGATGCAAACACATTTCCAGTATAGTGCTTTCCAACAGTGTTAAGCTATGTAAACATGGTCAGGATTTTATCACATTTATTTACAATTCTTGGCATTTTACACAACAAATGCTTGTAATTTGAACTTTGTATTTATTGCACTACTGCCCTTCATGCAGTCCAATAAGTGACGAACTGCTTCCAATAACTGTAAATAGGTCACACTGACCTGTGAAAAATCTCCAAATGTACGCTGAGCAGAGTTCCCTCAAGTCAAATGTAAATCGGACGCAATTCCAATGTCTTTATTAAGAAACCCCAATGGAAATCACTGTTTATTTAAACCCACTGTATTGCTATTAACGAATTCGCAATCTAAACTAACAAAATAGTTTGTAGAACAACATTTACGTCTACATTTTAAGTACTTCAATTTTCATAAAGGTCCAATTAGGTGCATTGTGTACTTGCAGGTTAGGTTTAGTTTGCTCATATTTTTGAGTGATATGATAATTGACAAACCCAGCACAAGACCAAGTTTTGGCTGTTGCTCATATTCAGTAGAGATGTATTGTGTAAGTCTTGAAATGCTTCAGAGTAAAAGATGGGTCTTTTAACAGCACCGCTGGGGAAAAGGGCATTTTACACCAAATACACAGGAGGTTTTGATGACTACAGTTTAGAGTATTCAGCTGATTTGCTTCAAATACAGTCTACAAATACCCACTCAATGTGGACGTTGGTTGTCTTATCAAATTAGGGATTGAAAAATCACAGTATAATAAATATCAGCAATGCAGGATTCTCGCCNTTTTTCCCTACTGAAGCAAGCACAGAGTTGCTAAGCAACCTTCATTGAAATAGCATCTCTGTCTTTTATGAGCTGAAGATACCCTTTGGCAAGACCCAGTGAAGCAAACGTCAATTAGGAAGAGCAAAGAGAGAGAGAGATTTGTGGCTGATCTGGATCAACTAAGTGCTGCATCTGAAGGGCTATGAACGGTTTCTCAGGGATGCCCGCCATTTTAGTCAATCTTCGAGCACACGAGCAGCCATTTGGATCTTTTCGTTCAGTTGCTCTGGAGATTTCAGCAGTTCTGTTAAGCTGTCGCGAGGCATCTCAAGCAGCATACCTACAGAAGGGGATGCAACATATTAATGCGAGCAGTTTGGGCTATGAATGACTCATTTAGAACGAATAGGTAATTATGATGGGGGAGGAGGAGAGAGGACTTGGGTATGCTGACCGAAAGCACGGTCAAAAAGATGTTTTTGTAAGGGTTTTGAGGGCAGGAATAAAGGAAAACAACAAATTACATTATAGCGCCTTTCACCTCAGGAGGAAAGAGGCTTTGCAAGACAGTGGCGGTGGGGAGGGGGGTGAAAGCAGGAGGAATGAGCATTAGCTCAGAATCAGAGGCCTCTTTGAATACATTAAAAAGCTGTGCTCCATTGTTCTAGTGATCTAAATTATCTTTTGTGTTCGGTTGAGCCAATCCTTCACCATCACAGTTTATCTGTACTTTGCTCCTACAACCACAACAGCTTCCATTTATACAGCTACCCTCACGTGGTGTAGCCTCTCAGAGCTCCGACCGGGTATCAAAAGCAGAACAAACATCAGCGAGGGGCCAATATCGATTATATAAGTAGATATTACATCACTGTGTTCTCACCGTGTGTCCCTTCCATACACCTTAAAAGTTACGAATCCACTAAATTCGTACCTGTTATCTTGCTTGAATGCTCGCTGTACTCTGTGTTGTTGATGTAGCTGTATAACTCCTCGCCGAGCCGTTCTGTCTCGCTGTCCGGCTCGCTCCCATCGTCACGCATCAGCAAGCCAGGTGGAACACAAGTGGCCGAATTCAGCAGGGCCGTCTGCGCTTGCTCCACTGCAGTCTGTAGCGCCAGTCTGTCAGTCAACAACTGCTGCACAGTAGAAGCTTTCATTTCTAACAGCATGCCTGAAACAAAAACGAGTGGTGCTAAAGTATAGGGTATATTCGATTTTGCAGCATTGCATAATAGATTTCTTATCTGGATGTTGGTTTGCTGTTCTTAAAAACAACCGGTTTCCCAATTAAGGCTGATTTTAAGAATTCTACAATTTTGCACGACCTTAAATTCTACAACAACAACAATTTTCCCCCTTTTATAGTACCCTCCACCCAGGGTAGTGTCTCAGAGCGCATAACAGTGGCGGAGCCTGACACAATAAGGTCTCTTTTGAGACGTCTCAAGTCCTAGCGTTGTCCACCGGTTGCCCAAAGTTCACCCCTCCATCACTGCTTCTTTGCTCTGCTCTGACTGTGTTTGGAGTCCAGATGACCTGTGAGTGTTGGGATGATGCTGCGGTAGATTTATTGCTTTAGATTCATATTCCATGAAAAACAACCAAAGCTTCCTCACCAGTGATGTTAGCACAGTTCTGTCGGTCGATCTTCTCCACCTCTACAAAAATCTTCTCTCCCAAACTCTCTTTCATGTCAACAAATTCTGAATATTCGGAAGTCGGCCCATTGTCCGGCAACACTCTAAGCACATGGAAAGACGTTTCAAATGTTTCACTCCTGCTCTGTACACAGGGCATTGCAGAAGGTTCTCGCTCAAAGTCAACAAAGTCCTGACACGCTCATAAGTTGAAGGAAATGGTCAAAGAGTTTACTTAACCTGACGCAACCTCCTTGTAGCGTTCTTCCAGCAATTCAGATATCTAATTCCTAATCCACATACACAGGCAACGCTTAAGGTAATGGGAGCTCGGACCTAAAATGCTTCTACAATTTTCAAACGCGTCACCTTAAAGCAAGGGTCAATCTTAATTCACTGCGTTGACATTTGCAATCCCCTGCCATCTCAAAAGCAGCTTGCTATTTTCAGTCCTGAGGAGAAGCCCTTAGGACAGATTATAATGAGGTTCTGATTTTTACCCTTGGGTATTATCACTGCGTTGGATTGATAGTCACGACCCAGAACATAAATTACAATGGGAATGTTTTTTTTAAACTCTTGAGTTAACAAACCGATCCAAACTTACTGTTCAACTGCTCGCCAAGCGATGTCAATCTGTTGTTTCAATAACTGTTCATCGCAGACCAATCGCTTCACTTCCTCCCTGCCCAACTCCAGCAGCATCCCTGTGGAAATGAACACGCTTTTAACATGAAGGGATCTTTTAACCTTTCCAGCTTCAAAATGTCTCTCCTGCTTGGGAGATACTGCAGCCTCAAAGCTTCCAATTGAACCGATGTGAACATGAAAGACCATCCCGAGATCAACTTTGATCCCTTCATCCATTGCTAATAATCCACTTTGTTGTACAGGCCACAAAATACGCAGTCACTACACTTTACAGTATATTCTGTGAAGCGCTTTGAGACGTCTCCAAGGCGTGATAAGGCGCTATATCAAATTACGATTATTACTATTTAGTTTTATAGACAATCAGAAAGTCTGATAAACTAACCGGTTATTTTCTCACTGTGTCCAGTGTTGTGGATGTCGACCAGATCATAGAGTTGATCCCCAAGTGAATCAGTAGAATCAGAATCCATATTTTCTTGCTCACCTTTAGATACACTGAGAAGCCAAACAAGATACTGTTTACTTTTCCTTATAGATACAAAATTAATGCTGCCAATAAATCTCGCTCCAAACTAACTGCATTAATACAGCCCCAATTTCATTCATATAAGAAACACACAATATCAATACCCAAAATCATGTTACACAGATACTGATCAACCAATATCAGTACCTCACTAATACGCAAAAGATCTAATCAGATTTCAGCTCTTACTTTATTCCAAGTTTGCTCTGAAATCAGCCTTATCCCTCATTTCTGTAAATGCCCCTTAATTCTCCTGAAAATAAGTCAATGAAATATTGTGCAACATCATTCCGCCAATATATGAAGAAAATGATTATTAAGGATGGAACAGCATTCAGAGATTAGCACTTAAAAAAGGATAAAGAGGGTATCGTTTTAATTAATTTAATGGCGGCAATGTTTAAAATGGTTGAACTTTCCGTCCTCCTCCATAAACACTATAGATTTATATTGGGATGCAAAACTGAAAGAAATATTAAATGCATTACACACATATTTAACCACATAACCACTCCGCATTGTGTTTTTTGTGGTGTCTCACCATTTATCTGTCAACAACTGAAGTGCATTAAATGCTTTGTGAAGAGCAGTGGCCAGCAGTTTCTCATCATGGACCATCTGTTCCAACAGAGTAACTGGCAGCTCCAACAGCATCCCTGTAAGAGGCTCGGAACAAAAGGATCAATGAGTTATTTAGCGCATGGGAATGCAGACAGCTATAACAGTGCAGCTCAGTGATCTGACATGAATAGCAGCAAAATTGTACTTCCGCAAGTCAATACACAGTCACATCCACTTTACAATATATTCTGCGAAGCGCTTTGAGATGTGATAAGGCATTATTATCAAATGCAAGGATTATTATTATTATCCTCCACATAAATAGCAATATCTCAAAACATCTAACTAGGCATTCCTGTCAACATTGCAGAGTTTAAAATCGATAGATCCAAAAGTGAAACTGTTCCAAGGATTGTTCCAATCAACCTAGCAAATGTTATCACATAATAGACATTTTAAGCATTCTCACCAAAAGCGCTTTGCTCAAATTCACAATTTCTGGAAGTTTGCTTTGGACATTCACTGCAACAAAGAATGTACATGTAATATGACTGTACCTGTGAGTTTTCCAGCCTTTTCTGGATGCTCTGGGACTATGGCATTGTAAAGTTTTTCCCCCAGCATGTTCAGTTGCTCAGATAAATCGGTGTTATCCATTTAAATCATGTGTTACAACTGAAGAAGCTGCAGGTCTCACGTGTGAATTGCACAGTGCCCTCATCAAGCTTGTCCTATACGCAAGACGTCATCGATACATTACTACAGATTTCTTCTTCAGCCACTGCAACAGTACTGTAATAAAATAAAATAACTCAGCCTAAATATTATGCATCGAAATTTTTCATGGACACACAGAAAATGATACTTCAATTTAAGACCGGTGACCTGGGTTACAAATGCAATCCAAGCTTTCATGACATGTTTAAACTGCCCATTATGGATGTAAAAGTGGGGGAGGGAGGTTGGAGACTGAAGCATGTCATATTTGGTGCAACGAGTATCCAGACCAGATGTGACATGAAATAATAATAATAATAATAATAATCCTTGCATTTGATATAGCGCTTTTCACGTCGGGAGGACGTCCCAAAGCGCTTCACAGAACACACTGTAAAGTGAATTGACTGTATATTTGTGGGCGAACGCGGCAGCCAATTGCGCACAGCAATGTCCCACAAACAGTCGTAGATTGAAAATGACCAATTTATTATTTTTTTTTTTTTTTTTGGAGGGATTATTATTAGGCTCTGTGTGGAGTAAGGAAACTTGCCCAAGGTTTCGCCCTCTGCCTGGAATTGAACTCAGGTCTCTCACTTGCAAAGCGAGTGCTCTAACCACTGAGCTACAGGACTCCACAAAGCCCCTGGTTGTCAAGTTGGTATCCAGATCAGAAGATCAGTCTGGATGAAGAAAGCCTTATAGACCATCTGATCTCATCCCTCCAGAATACCCACACTACCATCCCGTCTCCCCCCACCCTCTCCCAAACACAGCATCGAGCTGCTTTTTAAATGAGTACTAGTGACCCGGCCTCTACAACTTTTCCTGGCAAACCAGTTGTTAATTTCCCTCTGGGTAAAGAAAAACTTCCTGATGTCTGTCCTAAAGTTCCCCTTTACAACTTTAAACCGGTGTCGTCTTATTCTACAGTCTTATTCTTAAGTCCCGACATGTCGTAATCACCTTAATAATAATAACCCTTGCATTTCATAGAGCGCTTTTCACGTCTTCCGAGACGTCTCAAAGCGCTTCACAGAATATACTGTAATAGTTTGTGGGCGAAAACGCGGCGGCCGATGGGGCGCACAGCAGCGATGTCCCGCAGACAGCCGCGGATCGAAGCGACCGATTTTACCAGTGTTCTGTTTCTTGAGGGATTGTTGCCCGGAGCGTGTGCGGAGTCAGGAAAAGTCTCGCCCTGACCCTCCGGACACCAAACCCGGGTTCTGTCGCTCGCAAAGCGCTCGCGCGGCTCTCACCGCTCTCACCGCTCAGCGCTGCAGGACTTCGATCGCCTTTAAAATCTCACCTCCCAACGAGGTGCCCTGTCTCAAAACTGGGGATTATTATACTGATGTCATCATATTATACCATTAGTCAAAACTACTCCCTCCTTCACCTCCTGTAACTGTAAACGTTCACTTCTTATTGTTCCAAAACAATAATATATTTCGCCCACACAATGCACAGTGCGTTCTGCGAAGCGCTTTGAGACGTCCCCAATGAGAGGTTATAAAAAGGCGTTGAATCAAATGTGAGGATTGTTGTATTACATTACATTATTATATATCATTACTATTTGCGACTGTGCTCTGTTACTCAGAGCAGCGTCTCTCACCCGAGGGCCCCGCGTCGCGGTTTGATGACATCATCACCGGCGCGTCACTACGCAACGTCACTCAGCCTCCTCGCCCCCTCCCTCCCCCACTTCCGGTCCCTTCCGAGGTCATGAGGGGGGGGAAAAAAAGAGTCCCGTTGCATAAAAGGCCGTTTAACGGCAACGGAACCGCCGGAGAGAGAGAGAGAGGAAGAACGGTTTTAGTTGTTGTGGGTTTTTTTTTAATTAAAAAAAAAAGAATAATTAATAAAGCGGTTGAAGGCGGCGGTGACGTTCGGGGGGAGGAGAGGGCGGTGTGGAGCTGGCGGAGTGATCGGGCGGCGCGCGGAGGGTGGTCAGGCGGCCTCTCGCGCGGCTTTCTTCCTTTGGCTCGTGGCGCGCGGAGCAGTCAGGTACCTCCGCCCGACCCGCGGCCTCCGCCCCGGGACCCGCCGTCACCGCCCCGGGACCCGCGGCCCACCGTCACCCGCGCCACGAACTCAATCCCCCCCCCGGGCTTCAACTCAGCCCCCGCCACACACACACACACACACACACGAGGCCCTACAGAGGAGGGCGGGTGAGGAGACTTCACACAGGTTTAGGCCTCGCGGTGCCCGGGAGCTCAGGCGGGAGGAGCGAGGCCTTAAAAGGGGGTTAGTGGTGGGTGGGTGGGGGGGGAACGGCCAGTGGTGGGGGAGTGGGGGGGGGTTACGTGTCTCGAGTGTCCCGGGGCCGGGCTCTGGGCCGGGAGCGTGACCTGCCGGCGAGCCCCGGGCCTGGCCTGGGTTTGCGGCCCAGTTGTTGTCCAGGAGCACGAGCTGTGAGTGAGATGTGCCGGAACCCTCACACTGGGATCCCAACCCCTGAACCCCACTCACTGTCCTTCCCCAATCTACCCCCTCCCCCCCCCCCCCCACACACACACACACACACAAAGCCAAGGAGTCCGGCACAGGTGCCCTCGGGAGACCGCCCGGTGGAAGCCAGATTGGCCGGGTTTCGGGTTTCTTGCAGGGAATACCGTCTCGCGGCGCAGTATCTGGTTTGGGACGCGGTGTGTGTAGAGGCGCTTCGCCCGGGCGGGCCGGGCCGGGGCGGGAGGGGAACCGGGTGGAACTCGGCCGTCGTGAGCAATCCTTACGTGCTTGTGAGCTCAACTCTCGGGACTGAACGGTTTCTCTGTTTGGTCGGTTTAGGTGATCGAAAATGTCGTCTCACTTGCAGTGGATGGTCATCCGTAACTGCTCCAGCTTCCTCATTAAAAGGAACAAGCAGGTCTACAGCACCGTAAGTACCGACCGGAGGGTTCAAGCGCAGACCCTTGACTATTATTAATAATAATAATCCTTTACGTTTGATACAGAGCTTGTTTAGCCCACAAACTATTCTTTGATGCGCTTTTGAGACGTCTCAATGACGTGATGAGGCACGATATCAAATGCAAGGATTATTAGTCTTGTCGCGTCATCGAGACATCTTAACGCGCTTAGCACGACCTGTTGTCAAGTGGTGCAGTGACTGCATTTTGTGGGTGAGACCACGTAAATTTCGGAGTGGTTTAATTGAAGAATGGTATCTGACCCCTATGTTTTAAGACAAACTGCATCTGCAATTAAAGGGTTGTTGCAGATCCTTCCACCATGTTCACTGATCGAAAATAGGCATCGCCCAACTTCATTAAGGTGGCGACTACATTTGTTTGTTGTCTTTAGCTCTCTCTCCCCCCCCCCCCCCCCCCAAAAAAAAACCTGGAGACTTTTGCTCTATGCTGGAGACTTAGATCTTTAGTTGATAGAATGGTTCAGTTTGAATTCTGATTGATTATAACATCAAGATTGAGAAGTTGTGATTGCTTTTACTAGAGTTAGACCTGCAATGGTATGTATTTTTTGTCTTGAATTTCATTGGATTGATCTTGCTTAGGAGCCCAACAATCTCAAGGCCAGGAACTCCTTCCGTTACAATGGACTTATCCACCGCAAAACTGTGGGTGTGGAGCCAGCAGCTGATGGGAAAGGGATTGTCGTAGTCCTCAAAAAGCGAGCAGGTAAACTGTTCATATTGATTCTGTGGCTGGTATTCAGTCTCTTCATCTGCTCTTTATTTTCGTGTGTGCAACATACCTGATCTACAGCGGATTCTCTCTGAATAGCCAGGTTCTTAGTTCTTTGCCCTTTCATTTCTCTGTACCACACACCAGCATTGGGATAAATTGCTATGTGATATTTATTAGCTACAGAAGATGAATCCAGAAATCTACCTCTGAATATTTTCCCCTTTTGGAGCAAATATCTTTTTAGATCATTTGCCATCACCAAACAGACTCTAAAATCTTGATTGACATTGTCACTGTGAATCGATCGGTCACTGCTTTACTCAGATTGCCTTTTGTTTTAAAATGACCTGTAACAAGTTACACATCTAATTTAGGTCAACGCAAACCAGCAACATCCTATGAGAAGATCACCGTGAACAAGAATGCTCGTGCTACCCTGAACAGTTTGAGACACATCATCCGCAAGAATAATTACAGACGGGACCTTCGAATGGTATGAGAGCCGGTTCTTTGCTGTGATCAGTTGTATAATAACTAATATAGAGGAGTAGTGTCATAACAACCACTGAAATGTACTTCAGATATGTTTTAGCAACTGGTTGGTAAGTTAATCCCACCCGTACCTGTGTGACTGACCTTTGCATATTGTTAAATTCCATTTTGACTATTACAAAAAAAAAGCACTTTAGTTGATTAAAGTTACATGTAAGTTTCTGGATAAATGGTGAGAAATTTAAGTGGGAATATGGGGGACTGGAAGTTGGAAATGCCACATTGGTCCTCACAAGTTATGGTTTATTTTACTTGTATTTTCAGGCTGCAATCCGTCGTGCTAGCGCTATTCTGAAGAGTCAGAAACCAGTTGTGGTCAAGAAGAAACGCACCAGGACTGCGAAGAGTGCATAAACATCACAGTTTCACGTGGTTTAATAATAAATGAAGATTTAAGTAATTCTGTCTGGTTGTCTCTTTGCTGAGATTGTACTTGTAAATTTTGGTGCTACATTTTATGAACCTTTCTAAAGATATTCATTCTTGCATTTGGTATCCTTTCCTTGAAAGCTCCTTTCATGACCCAAAGTGCTTCACAGGATTCAAACGTATAAGTTGGCCATCTACCTTATGAATTATATAAGGATACGGGAGGGAATGGGTGTTGCTCTGAAGGCTTTAACGAAGTGCTGGAGACCATTGGATCTAATTGAAACAGCAAGAGCAATGAAGCCCGGCTCATTAATGAAAGCCAATTTTAACCCTCAGCCCAGAGATTGCTGCAATCTGGTGAACAGAGCTGAAAACATTCATTCTGAACCTTCACACATAGCTGTTGTATAATTCAGTGTTACAGTATTCCCAATGACTGAGCATTTTATATTTCACGACATACAAGAAAATGTATTCCAAACTGCTCTGAACACAACTCTACTTTAAGTATTGACATGATTCTTTTGTATGCAGTTGTATTTCTATTTCTCTGCACATTTCCAAAGGGGAACATTGTGTGTTTGATTGAATAAATAAACCGTCAGCAAATCCACAATCCCTTCAACCTTAAATGACACAAGATCTATCTTTAGGGTACAGCAGTTGCATATTATTATTCAACATATTAATAATCCTTGCATTTGATATACTACCTTATCACGTGTTGAGATGTCTCACAGCGTTTCACAGAGTGTGTTGTAAAGTGGATTAACTGTAAAAAGTGTTTGCTTACATTCTCAGGTTTTCTATCATCAAGTGTTTCAGGTCTGGTCAGTCGCTACATTCAGTTCCCCTCCTCTCCTGACAGCTTGGACCTGTGCTGGTTACGTGTGTTAAATTCAACCAAGACACTGATAATTGGCTACAGGTTTTGTATTGTAAATTGTTTTCTCGTTCTACAAATGAAGTACAGTACCAAAAAAAATCAACTCAATCGGTTTCCAAGCGGTACCCATAGATGACCATATGAGGGCACCAAAGCCCGGCTGAGTGACTGAAGACCGAGAAACAGCAGAGATGCTGTAGTAGGTCTCTATAACATTACTCTAGATTTTAGATGTATTAGATGTCAAATTGGAACAACTTACAGGATTAAAGCAATGTTATAGCCCACTCAAACGTGCGATGCTGTTTGCAGGCCTGCTTGGTGATATAATACGTGTGGATCGAGAGTGATTTGGTTGTTGGTGACAAGTGGCAGATGTTTATTGCTAAGTGTAATTTGAGGACTGGGTCAGATAATTACTTGTGCACCCAGTAGCACAAGCTACTTTTTATTTGGTGCTAACAGCAGCCGGCGTTGTTCCTCCTTCCAATCCACCTCATTGGTAGTTGAGCTTCCAGCCCATGTGCAGCCACTCTCTGGAACTCCATCCTCTGCCTCGCCCCCTCCCTCCCCACTTGTAAAACCTACCTCGTGTGGCTGCAGTGTCTTACCCACACAATATACAGTCAACTCACTTGACAATAAAGTGGAGTCCTGTAGCTTAGTGGTTAGAGCGCTCGTCTCACAGCGAGAGGACCTGGGTTGGATTCCCAGGCCGGGTGAAACCTTAAGGCAAGTTTCCTTACTCTACACACCTGTACCTCGCAGCGAGTAGGAATCCGATTGTTAGTCGATTGTCAGATTGCTTTCACGGGGGTAATAATCCCATCAAAAAAATAATTTGGTCACTCAATGCACGAATGTTTGTTGGGACACTGCTGTGCACAATTAGCCCACAAAATATTCAGTCAAATCACTTTACAGTATATTCTGTGAAGCGCTTTGAGAAGTTTCAAAGACAAGATGAAGCGCTATATTAAGTATTATGTGTTTAGCCACTGCTCCCTCCCCACCCTCCTTTAGCTTCAGCTCCATCTCCCCTCTCCACCCCCCCAACTCATGCTCCCCCCATCAGTTGTGGGATCATCCTCCCAACATGGAGGGCATGCTACGAATGTAATCTGTTGGTTGCTCAAATCACACAACACACACTGGCCGAGATTTATTGATCCTCATTTATTATATCAGGAGAAATGAAAACAGGTACACATTTCTTCCAGTTGTGATCGGAATAGAAGTTTAAAAAGTACAGTGCATTTATTCACAGGAAGCAATAACTCGATACAAAAAAGAAGTTTCTGCAGTGTCGGACATTATCCTAATAAAACTAACATTTTAAACAACTCAGTTACCACACTGACGCTTGAAGACAGAAAGCAGCCTTTCTGAACACAAACAGTAAATGCTACTCTGGAACTAGTCAAATAGTCAAAACGATCTGTAAAATCTATCAACTGGTTACATTGTGAATTAATGGTTTCTGCTGCATATATAGCACCTCCGCTTATAAATCCTAATCGTGTCTCACACTCGGCTTTGCTGAACCAAGAACGAACTACTCGAAACAATCTCATGCAAATAATCCAACCGAGAACCAGTAATCGTGCTTCACAGTAATAACCTGGCAGGAAGAATCTCAAGTAGGAATGGATCTGCATAGGGCCATCAAAGAGAAATGGTTTGCATTGTTGCTTTGTTTGAGAAGTTTGGAAAGAAAGTAAAATTAGTAAATTAGTCACGAAGTAGGTCCCCAAACGCTTCTTTTTTTAAAAAAAACACTAAGGAAAATACATTGACTGCATTGTGGAATAAGTCTCGCAAATAAATAAAGGAACAAGATGTTGAACACAAATAAATGCATTCTATAAAAACTAAAAATCACCTTCTTGGCTCAGACACATCAAGGTCTTCAGCAGCCCACAAAGTAACACAGAGAGATGGGCTTTTTACTATTATTATTTTCCTCGTCACAAAAAAGTGGTTTCAGAAACAAGATTCTGCTTTGATAACAACCTGACGTTAGCAGAAAAATTGCGTCACAAACGCTCAAACTTTGCAAAAGTACAGAGAATACAAAGGAAACTATATACAGGCGAAGTCTTCACGAGGTACATGGAGTTGGCCATAAGCTAAGTGTGCTGTGAGATTTCTGTGGACTTTGCTTTTTTGCATTCGTCAGTAGCTAATCTACCAATGAGTTTAGCACAGCTTCACTATATGCCTAGCTCTACTTTAGTGGCTGTAGTTTGTAGCATTCTAGAGCAGCTCCACAACAAATATCCCCAACAATGAATGTCCACACGATGGAATGATTATCTGCACGGGAACGGTGGGAACTCAGCAACGAGTTATGGGAACGAGCGTCAAAAGAAATGGTTTGGACAGTGAATTTTTATAACAATTCTTGCATTTGACATCAGCGCCTTATACCGCTGTCGTCGTCGAAATGTCTCCAAAGCGTTTCACAGGATTTCCTGTGACGCTCGGTGACAAGTGTAATCATCAGCAAAATGTACTCTTTTTAAAAAGGATTAGTAAGTGACGTCCAAAAATCAGCCACTGTTAGTAACAGTACAAACGTTCCTGGCTTTTGAACTTGGTGTGAGTATAAATATTTAATTGATTATTAATTTAGAAGTCTGCTCTGATCGATTGGGCCGTCGGGAAGAAACTCTGTGCTGTGAAGACGGGATAGCCGAGTGGAGGGGGGGGGGGGGGGGGGGGGAATAGTGGGTCAGTCGATGTCCAGGTCACTGTCGTCACTGTGAGCGACGGAGGCGTTCCGGATGGCTGTGGGCGACACCACGTCCTTCTCCGGCAGCATGCCGTACTCCCGCAGGAACGCCTCCACGTCCACCGCGAAGAAATCCTCGCCCAGCTGGTCGGTGATGCGCACGAAGTTGCCGATCAAGTCCCCGCCCTTGTAGACCAGCAGGGCAGGCAGGGCGCTGCCGGTGAACCTGGCGCTGGCGCCGATCAGCGAGCTGCGCACTTTGCAGAACTTGACCAGCGGGTACTCGCCGGCCAGGCAGAGCAGGCAGCCGTTCATGGATTCGCATCCGGCCAGGTCCTCCTCGTAGATGTGCACCACCACCACCGTGCCCTTCTCCTCCTTGTCGATCGTGTCCAGGAAATCCTCTGCATTGGTCAGCTCGTACACCTGCTCAAAGCGCTTCCCGCTGGACAGGTGCTGCTTCATCTCGTCCATCCGCTGCTTCCTGTACTGCGCCAGGAACTCTTCGTCATCTCCCTCGTGGATCATGTTGTATTCCTGCATAGTCATCTGCAACACACACACAAGGGATTTACACCGTACTTGACCAATGCTGGACCAACCCATTGGGCTTTCAATTTCAGGCAGATTATCTATATAGCCATACAGTCATATCAATGGCAAGTTATGCAGTTTTAGAAGAAAATGACAAGCTTTCCCGCTGCTTGTCCAGCTAGGACCACTCTACCCGCGAGGGCTTGCAGGACTAACAGGGTATCACTCTGGATATTGTCTTTACCAACCGAGTGACTGGGGCAGGTTGGCTGGAACCGAGACTCCGCAGTACCAGAATCCTGCAAACATTCAAACTGCGCCCGCATTAACCTTTCCATTGATCCGGTCCTGGAGATCCTTCTGCTTCTGTTTGTCCTTCTCATCGTCCAGGTGAGACCTGCAGCTCATGGACAGCTTCTTGATGAGCCGCGACATCTCTCGGCGCTGCTCCTCACGCTGCTCTGTCTCCAGCTGCTTGAACCGGCGCCAATCGTTGATCACACCTTTAGGTCCTGGAGATGGGGGAGGTGGAGAGGGAAGAGAGGGAGTAAGATATAATAATAATCTCTGCACTTGATATACTGCCTTATCATGTCGTCGAGACGTCTAAAAGCGCTTCACAGAATATCCTGTATTGTAAAGTGGTTCGACTGTGGATTTTGTGGGTGAAGCCAATCAAACAAGTCTCCTGGTTATCCTGACTTCCATTTCCTTCCCCAAATTCACCCCCAAAATTTCTGACTAATTGCATATCGCCTCGTGCGCTTGCTTCCAAGTCACCGTTCACTTCAACTCAAACCCCATTCGATGAAGCGCTTTGAAGCATTTACTTTCACGTGTCAGGGTGTTGTATAACAACGCAATCTGTCGTCGTTTCTGCTGGTGAGTGAACAGCGAGCTCCATAGCAGAGAGAGAGAGGGAGAGAGAAACCAAGGAAGGAGGTGCACATTCAAATAGGCTTTCATTAGCTATTTTAATGCAGCGGGTTAAAGATCCCCCTTTCACAAGTAGCTTTGAAAATGCATCTGGGTTGGGGATCTAATCTAATCTAATACAGGACTATTAGAATTAGAATACAAGCCCATTTCAAAACAACTTCAGGGTTTTGTATCTTTCATTACATTTGTAAATTTATTCTCCCTCCCTCCATCCATGCAGAATAAAAATTGGCCTGATTTACCTCAAGGAAGACAGTACCAGTGTCAACAAAATGAAAAAAAAACAAAAAAAACACCATTGCCTGGGAAAGAGCAATGTTGCCTAAACATTTAAGATTTTGCGGAATTTTAAGGGGAAAAATCCAATAGTATGCAAGCTGTTTCTTTTTAAGAAGTCCAGAAAAAAAAACACCTTCCAAATAAAGACTGAAGTTGTGATTTTTTAAAAATTCTGCACCATCTTGAATTAAGATAAATTAAATTGAGATGACATATTATAATAATCCTTGCATTTGATATAGCGCCCTATCATTTGTTCGAGACGTCTCAAAGCGCTTTACAGAATACACTGTAAAGTGTAGTGAATGTTTGTTTTGTGGGTGAAACAATGATGTCTTTAGGCTAAGATCGTAAGATATGACATGGCCTCAGAGGAACAGCCTGACCTCATAGGACTGGGAGGAGTCTATGGGGCTGTGAATAACAGCACTGGGTGTATCTCTCCCCAAAGGACAAGTTTTCCATCAATTTAAGAACAATACTGTTTCCTCTCCAATCATCTCCATGCTAAACCGCCCTCAGGAAAAACAGTCTGCAAAAAAAAACACTGTTCAGAAGTTACACTCCAAGAACGTGCAATATAAATACAGGAGGAATGCAATCGAGTTAGAACAGGGAGGCTTGAAAGGGGACTTGGGAGTGTCAGCTGCTAACAGCATCCACAGAGCACAGTGAAGCAATTTGAAAATAAAGAAATGCTGTAGTACACAAGTCTACAGAAACGATAGACACCAGACAGAGAATACCTCCAACACTGAGTTCAAGACAAAAAGGGATTATAATAATAATAGTTGCATTTGATATAGCATCTTATTATGTCGTTGAGATGTCTCAAAGCGCTGCACTGGATATTTATTCAAGCGCTCTGGGACGCACCCTGCCATGAGAGGCAAGTTGTTGTTATTGTAAAGTGAACTCACTGCACATTTTTATGGACAAAACGTGGCAGACAATTGCACACAGCATTGTCCCACAAACTGTCTTATTCTTGAACGTTCTTCCACCTCATCAGTCAACACACTTTTCAATAATAAGAATCCTTGCATTTGATATAGCGTCTTATCACGTCTTCGAGACGTCGCAAAGGGCTTCACAGAATATACTGTAAAGTGAATTGAGTGTGTATTTTGTGGACAAAACGCGGCAGCCAATTGTTCACCGCGACTGCATCAGCTCCCCCACCCCCCCAATATCTATTGTCTAAAGTTTCTAGTGAGGTACCTGTGTTAACAGCACTCCGTTCTCTGCCGTCCACAGACATGCTGGGATTCTGGATGGTTTTCTGGTCGCTCCCCTCATGGTCACTGTCTTCGTCCTCGCTGCTGCTGTAGTAATACTGCAGCTTCTCCCCAAGGATCTTGTCATCTAGCGTCGTCATTGTAGCTGTTGGATTTGAGGTTAAATCCTCGAGCACTGAGCAGCAGAGAAAAGAAAACATTAAATAAGGCACACGGTCATTCAAAATATATATCAAAATAAAATAGAAAATACAGTCAATCCACTTTACAGTATATCTTGTGAAGCTCTTTGAAGACGTCTCGACGATGTGATAAGGCGTTGTATCAAATGCAAGGATCATTATTATTATTATCATCCCCACAAACAACAATGAAGCAAATCATAGAATGTTACGGCACAGAGGGAGGCCATTCGGCCCATCGAGTCTGTGCCGGCCAATTTGACCAATTTTACATGAGTAGTGGTGGGGTGGGGCAAAGCTTGTCCAGGACACCAGGAGAAACCAAATAAGGGAAATAAGTTGCAGAAAAGAAAGTTCCTGAAATTAGATCGAAAGTATGAATTTCTTAAAAGCTGAAAAAATCGTGTAATTCTAAGACTGAGTGAATTTCAAATCTGAACCTTTTCTTTTAAGAACCTTGGTCTTCTTTCGTCTAGCAAATTCTTCTGCTCTTATGATTGAACTTGATCTTTGACGAGGGAGAGTGAGAGTTGGGGACAAAGTATTTATATTCCAGTCTGGAATTGGTGGAGCTGTGGGGAATAAGGAATTCTCAAGACGTTCAATTTGTCGGGGTTTGAGAGCTGTTTGGCGGTGCGGCAGAGGGTGGAAAGCTGTGTTTTTTTAGGGGGAGTTTGGGGGGAGTGCAAAGTGTAAATAAATCCCAAAGCACTTGATCCGTGCAAAGCTTGTACTTGTGCTGCTACTCAAACACGCGTTTACATTCGCAGGACCTCGGGAGTTTTAGAAAGCATTTTCTGCAGGAAAGACTAAAATACCAACTTAATACGTGACGGGTATTGAACTCACTGAGAGACTTCTGTGTTTTGCGTCACTCGCTTCTCCAAAAGGCATTTTGTTGGTAACTGATATTTTTTTCACACCCATGCAAAGGTTGTCATAATCTACAATTAGTATAATGGTTCCCTCAGAAATGACTCGTCGATGGTCTGTTCACAGTTTACAAGGTCGTTGAGTAAAATACTCGAGCAGAAGAATAGTATTATGTGTCACTCGGTAGCACTCTCTCTCAGAAGGTTTCATGTTCATACACCCACATGGGGATTCTGAACTCACAGACCAGGCTGACACTTTTAAGAGTGAAATCAGGATCAGTTTTTCACCCACAGGATAGTGGAAATCTGAAACTCTCTCCCCCAAAAGGCTGTGGATGTTGGATCCATTCACATTATCAAAACTGAGGTGGATAGATATTGGTTAGGGATATAGGACAAGGGCAGGGAATTGGAAGTTGAGATACAGATCAGCCATGATCTTATAGAACAGCAAAATTTGAGAGGTTGAATAGCCTACTCCTATTCCTGTTTCTGTGACACTCTGATGCAGTGTTGGAGTGAGGTGCCGTCCTTCAGATGAGATGTTAAAGCTGAGGTTCAGGTGCCTGTTCAAGCGGACATTACAAATCCCCTGGTGCTATTGAAAAACAGAAGGGAGTTTCTCCCAGTGTCTTGGCCAACAAATCCCCCAGACAAAACTAACATTTACATGGAGTGAGAGCGAGAGAATGAGATGAAACCAGAGAACTCAAGTACAGGAGTGAGCAAGAATGATCACCAGCTCAGACACAAGGGGGTAAGGAGAAGGGGGAATGGAAACAGAGCAGGGAGATCCATTGAGGGATTGAGCACCAGTACTTTACAGTATATCTTGCGAAGCTCTTTGAAGACGTCTCGACGATGTGATAAGGCGCTGTATCAATTGCAAGGATCATTATTATGTTATTATTTATATAAACGCTTCCCCAGGCTAACTTAAGTGGCCTCTTCCCTTCCATGATGATATCTCAAAATATGTCTCAAGTTTGAAGTGCTCAAACATTCGAATTTTCAAGAAGTTCAATTCTTATATATTTTTTTAATTGAGTAAAACGTGTTCACACTGCCAGTTCCCAAAGCTGCCTCAAGCACTCCGGGACGCTACCCCACGTGATGGGCATTATATCATTGCAAGTTGTTGCCTTGTCCATCGAGACCTTATGCCCTTGGTTTGATGCAAATTCTCGTTGAACCACAATCAGAGCGACTGCTTTGTAAAGAGCGGTGAAGGATTCCCTCTGAGAAAATGCCAACTGATCTCTCACATACAGGCAATAAGTTGCATGACCCAATTTTTTTTTCCACAGCTGCGCTGATGCAATACTAGCTTTTATTAATGGATTATCGCAACCAACAAAGCATTTCCGATCTATTCCGTGCTTCCGTCTTATTCCCCCCAAAACTGAAATTGCATGTCAGGTTGCACTTACCTATAAAAGCTCAGAAGAGTCTTATAGGATCATAGGAGATGCTTTACAAACTGTGCAGATATATGTGGATTCATCTCTCACTCCAGCCAATGCAGGTCATGAGCAGTTTCAGAATTAACCCTCCTCTCTCTCCACTGAGAAGCTATTATACACTACAAACTCAGGAAAGATGCTGCTTGTTTTATAAGTGACATTTTATCTGTGAAAACGGCACTGTCTCATGTTCAAAAATCAGCGAAGCTGAGCTAACAATTAAACCCATTCAGTAGGCCCTTTGCTCTCAAGTTCAGATCATGCCCATGTGGGTGTCACTCCTATTCAGGAGAAGGTCAAGCCTCTTGCAAACTAGGCTGAGACACCGCTTCAAAACCCTCTGCTGGTTCTTTCCATTAACTTAACTATACTCACTCTTATCATTAAGTCCTTGCCTTTGTTAAGGCTTGTACTCTTCCACCTACGAGTTAATAGAATTAATCTTCTTTAGATTGTCTCCAAATGACTAGCTTAGCTGGATCTACCCACACTGTATCTCTTCACGTATAAAGAAAACTAGACATCTATCCTTTATGCTTTGCCTTGATCAAAGGGCAGCTTTCTCTATGAGTGAGATGCACCTGTTCTTTATGCATCCTCCTTACTGCAAATGAGACGCTCTGTGCCACCCAGACGTCCAACTCAGTGGCAGAACTATCGCTAGCTAGCAGATCGGAGTAACCAGTCACCTTGCTAATGGATTTTGCCACCTCTTGTATAACCCCTTTAACTCTTGTGCTCCTGGTACATTAGTAAAACTTCCTGTTCTGTAGGAAAAAAAAGGATCCCATTAGAATAAAGTGCAAAAAAACCCAGCACACAACCATTGCTGAAAGCAAACACAGATCAACAACGCTGTATCAGAAACGCTGTAAAAGCCTTTCCATACCTGTCCATTAACAGCTCAGCTCTCACACCTCTGTAAATGAGCGGAAGCAACACAAGATGATCTATACAGAAGCTCTCCAATGGAACATATCAGATGGAGAGAAGTCAACTACATGACCATTTCAACTACTAGTCCACCCAATAAATCCGAAGCAAAATATCTGCCACGGTCAAAACACACAGCAGCCTATAAATAACTCATTTCCATCTTCTTGTTTTGATGGAAAAAAAGATGTACAGATGTGCTCGCATCTGTGTCAGAGCTGGATAATTGGTCCATTAATAAACTGCGGCGCTGAAATCAGCTGAGCATAGATTAATTTTGAGCGAAGTAATAATTGCACGTAAAAGCAGTAATCCCAAAACATTCACTAAAAGATATTAAAATTATTTTAAAAGCCTATCCTTTTTCACAGAGGCACTGTAGAGTCTGCATTCTGGAGTCATGCATTATTACAACAACAACTTGCATTTATATAGCGCCCTTCACCCCAGACGGTGTCTCGGAATGCTACTAGCACCCGAGAAATGATCACTGGCACATGCTGCAAACAGGAATCAATAGAGACACCACAAACATTCTTGAGAACTACCACATACTCAGAATTTAACTTGTTACACGCCTGGGAAGAGATTACGGTTTTAATTTAGCAGAGAATGATTGAAGAGGACAGCGAGATAAACCCTTCAGCAAAGAAACATTACCCGTAGCCAGATGGCAGGGATTAAACTAACCCCCCTGCTTCCGTACCACAACAGACAGAATTGACGATCAAAACAACCAAGAAATGCGGGTGTTGATTAACCCGCTTTCAACCCAATGCTTGGACAGAACGGTGATACTTTCAAACAGGAGCCAAAATCTAATTCGATTGAATGTAATAAACTTTTTTCAATGAAGTCATCGTTAAATGGCTATGCAATGAGATGATTTTACCCTTTGTCATTTAGGCTTCCAAGTTAAAAATCCCCGGACTCTAAAGCCTAATGCAATTCAGGCAACTCACTCAAATATAGAATTGGAAGCACATTAGTCCACTCAGTCACAACACGCTCTGCCACAGAATGGCAGAGTTCTAAGTTCATATCTGTGAACTACGCCAAACAGAGATCATACCCTTCTCACAAGGGGAGAAAAACCCCGATACTTCCACTGCACCCTCCAGAAAGGTAGGTTGTCGGTTCAATCTACCTGTCTGGTTGTAATATAAGTGCCTTAAACAAGGAGATGGTGAAACAAATATAACAACTTACCCCAAAGAAAATAGTTTAAAGCAGAAAATTGTACCTTAGTGGGATGAGAGTTAAGACAATAATATTACAGTCTATATGGTTGAACCTTTTTTTTTAAAAATGATGAACTATTTCATAAGTCAATTTCTCCCCTCTCCCCCAATTGATTTACTCACTAAATAGTTAGCCAAAGTCTTCCTAAATTTGATGAAACGTACCTTCACTTTAATGGGACTGGCAAACGCAACTCTTTGCAACTGGGCAAAAACACAAGGCAAGTGTCAGGACTGTTCTGTGGAAAAAAACATAAATAATATGAGTTTACAGTATTCACCACTCTCCAGGTAAAGCGGGTCTGAATCAACTCGATAGCTTTCTTTGTCTGAGCTCGACGCCGTGTGCTCTCTCGCTCTCGACTGTTGACTGAGATGCATGAAAAAGCTCAGCGGTGCGGAAGGTAAACAATGAAGAATTGTGGATCTCAAGCAGGCGAACGCAAAACATAAACCTCTCTGAGAATGTTGTGCAAAGGGAGTAAAGCACACACTTGTGATTAGGACGATATTCATCCAACCTCTATAGTGCTTTAAAGTCTCGTGGGACATTCATACCCCGACCCGATAGTCCCCACGGACAAACCTTATGAGGAGTTAAACTTGTTTATTTGGTAGGTCTGATAACAAGTTGTTCAGCTTCAAAAAGGATTTCAATCCAACCCACTCCCCCTCAAAAACAATAATCCCCGTGACTAATGTTGTTCAGGGATGTGTGTAATGAATGACTGGTTAATGCTAATCTTCAAGAATTACAGAAATGTTTTACATTCATTGAGGTGCCCAACTTTAGTGACTCACCTTATTGGGGCTACATGTGCAGAAAGAAGCATTTGACATCTAAGGGATAGGGAGTCGGGGGTTAAATGCAAGCAGACAAGTTCAAGTTTCTTTTACATTTTTGAATACCTAAACTGATGTGATTAACTTCATCTACGAGCACTCGTAAACGGAGAAATTTAGAGCCAATTCCTCATATTATAATAATAATAATAATAATTCTGGCATTCGATATAATAATAATAATATAATAATAATCCTTGCATTTGATATAGCGCTTTTCACGTCGGGAGGACGTCCCAAAGCGCTTCACAGAACACACTGTAAAGCGAAGTGACTGTATATTTGTGGGCGAACGCGGCAGCCGATTGCGCACAGCAATGTCCCACAAACAGTTGTGGATTGAAAATGACCAATTTATTATTGTTTTTGGTTTTGGAGGGATTATTATTAGGCTCTGTGTGGAGTAAGGAAACTTGCCCAAGGTTTCGCCCTCTGCCTGGGGTTGAACTCAGGTCTCTCACTTGCAAAGCGAGTGCTCTAACCACTGAGCCACAGGACTCCACATTATAAGGAAGCAATGAGGGAAAAACGTCCTTCTCCTTTCCAACAGCCCCGCGGGGGCCTTGAACTGTGACCCGCTGCCTCCGCTCGACCGGCTCTGGCCTTCCGCGTACCCCCCCCCCGTACCCTCCCCGTACCCCCCCCCCGGTACCCTCCCCGTGCCCTCCGTACCCACCCCCCCCCCGTGCCCTCCCCCCGTGTCATCACCGGTGGCCGCGCTCTCAGCCCCTGCGACCGCGCAACTCCGGAACGCTTTTCCGCGCTCTCTCTCTCTCTCCCCACCGCCGCCGCCGCCGTCCGGCTCCGGGTGGGGGGGGGGGGGGGGTCGAGCTCCTCCGTCACGGTCGGGCGCTCTGGGACTCTACCCCGCGTGAGGGGGCGCTGCGTGGGGCTGTTGTCCACCCGAACAGGGCCAAGTGGGGGGAGGGGGGACCAGGGATTAACGTCTCATCCGAACAACAACAATATAGCGCCCTTCACGCCGGGAGAGCGTCCCAGAGCGCTTGGAGGGCGTCTCTCTGACAACGCGATGCCCCCCCACCACCCACTCAGCGCTGCACTGCAGTGTGGGCCTGGACTGTCCCCGCCGGCCGTTGGGAGCTGGAGCCCGACCCCCACCCCCCGCCTGGGAGGCCGGAGGGTTCCTGACCCGAAGCCCCGGGGCTGACGTGACGTCTCCCGGGGCCTCTCGCCCGGGCCGAGGGGAGGCTGACTGGGCTCGGGATCCACGCGAGCCTCCCTGCGGACCCGGGCCTACTCCGCTCAGAGGGGGAGGGGGAGGGGGGGGGCGGCCTCCGCGAGGCTTCCCCTCACCGCCGCGACGCGACTCGACTCCTCTCACCGGCAACGGCGGCCGCTCCTCAGCGACGCCCTTAGCGACGGAAGTCACCGGTCCCGGACGCCTCGCTCGCTCGCTCGCGCGCGTCCGCCCGCCCGCCTACCTGTCCGCCTGTCTGTCAGGCTGACTGACGGGGGCGACGGCCAATCACAGCGCGGCAATCAGACCCCGCCTCCTCAACGCCCCGCCCACTCACCCCCGCGCGCAACCAATCAGCTGCCGAGGGAGGCGGGACTTACTGCCCGCGACCAGCCTTTGCCTCAACCCTTTGATTGACAGGTGTCCTGGGCTCCTGTCTCAATGGGTCTGTCTGTCTGTCTGTCTGTGTCTGTCTGTCTGAACACAGTCCCCCCCACTCCCCCACCACCTCATTGGTAATAATTGCCCCCTTGCATTTGATGCAGTGCCTTATCACGTCGTTGAGACGTCTCAAAGCGCTCCGTGCAATGTACTGCGAAGTGGAGTGACTGTGTAGTTTCGTGCAATTGGAATTGTGTCTACACTGGGAACGGTAGAGCCAATTCCTCATATTATAATAATAATAATAATTCTGGCATTCGATATAATAATAATAATATAATAATAATCCTTGCATTTGATATAGCGCTTTTCACGTCGGGAGGACGTCCCAAAGCGCTTCACAGAACACACTGTAAAGTGAATTGACTGTATGTTTGTGGGCGAACGCGGCAGCCAATTGCGCACAGCAATGTCCCACAGACAGTCGTAGATTGAAAATGACCAATTTATTATTGTTTTTGGTTTGGGTTTTGGAGGGATTATTATTAGGCTCTGTGTGGAGTAAGGAAACTTGCCCAAGGTTTCGCCCTCTGCCTGGAATTGAACTCAGGTCTCTCACTTGCAAAGCGAGTGCTCTAACCACTGAGCTACAGGACTCCACGATATGGCGCCTTATCACGTCTTCGACACGTCGCAAAGCGCTTCGCGGGTTATACAGTAAAGCGTAAGGCGGCCGTGTGCCTTGTGGGTGAAACGCGGCAGCCAATTGCGCGCAATTCCTTGTGGTTTGGTCACAAAATGATGTCCTTGTGCCTGCCATGGCGACCGTCGTTGTGTCCGCACTCTCACCCGGAGGATTGTGGATTGAAGCCCCCAGGTCGGGGCTCGGGAAACACATTATCTAAAAGTTGACGCTCCAATGCAGCGCTGTGGGTCTGTGTTGTGTTGCATTGTTGGAGGTGCTGCCCTTCGGATGAGACGTTAAACCGTGGTCCCTTCTGTGTGTTCAGGTGGATGTTAAAGATTCGGTTGCACTAATCGAAAAGAGAAGGTAGTTTCTCCCTCCCACTGTCCTGGTCAAGAATCCCTCAAATAAAAATTGATGACGCACTCCATGACTATTTGCAGGACACTGCTGTGCGTAGTTGGCTGCTGCGTTTCGCCCACAAAAACACGGTCAAATCCACTTTACAGTGTATTCTGCGAAGTGCTTTGAGATGTTTTGGTGATGTGATAAAGTGCTATATCAGATGCAAGGATTATTATTATTATTATTATGTCCCACAATAGAGAATGCAACACGAGATGACCACTGTGGTCCAAGGTTGATCTGTGTAGATACAGTCACCAACCCAGAGTCGCTGGAATAATTGTGCACGTGTGTGTTTGTGTGTGTGTACATGTGTGTTAATTCATCTGTCACACAATGTGTGACTCTGTTGCCCCACTAAAACAATTGATTCTAAAAGTAATCAGCTACGGTATATCAGGCACACATAACAGTGAAGATTTTTGAATTTGTTTTTGCAATTCAGGCAAGCTCTCAATTATTGCCTTATTTGCGAAAAAAAAACCTAAATATAAAAAAAATCGATTGAGGTTTCTTATACATATTCCACATCGCACTTACCAGTCCAGTTTTCTGAGAGAAGACTCGCAATGTTGTAATTTCTTATTAAAATGTGCATACGTGAGGTTCCGATTAGATTTTAATTTGATTAATTCCATGAAGTGCACATAGGGAACAATTACTAGCACCTCACATTCAACCTCAACAATAGCTGCTAACAGATTTTACACCAAGCTCAGTTGCCTTGGAGAAAAATTGACCAATTGCATGAATCTTTTTCTTCCAATTAAGGGCTAAATCAAATGCAAGGATTATTAATATTTCATACTGTGTCTAGTTACACCTCTAGCAGAGATTGAGCCAGACAATCCCAAAAAAATTTGGTCACTCAATGCACGACTGTTTGTGGGAATCTTCTGTGCACAATTGGCTGCCTCATTTCGCCCACAAAATGAATACACAGTCAATCCACTTTAGAGTATATCTTGTGATGCCTTTTGAGACATCTCGGTGATGCGATAAGATGCTATATCAAACGCAAAGATTATTATTATTATTTATTGCATCAAATGCATACATATTGTTATTAAAATCAACAGTAGATCTTGTGGGAGAGATACGGGCTGGATTTTAACCTGTGTGGATTCAAATTCCACCTGGGTCCAGATTTACTCTATTTGTGAAGCGTTTCAGTTAACATTAAATTCTTTTGTAAGAATCCTTTGAGAACTATAGGGGAAAAAAAAACATTTGACTTCAAAGTTAAGACTTGAACTTGAACTCAACACTTTGATAAATCCCGGAGGCTGAGAGATGCTACATAAAAGGAATAAATCTCGACACACACAGACAGACACACACAGACAGACACACACCTCTCCCAGGATTAGAGAAGGGGCCAGAGCTGGGTTGGCTCTCTGTGATTCACTCTCCACCAAACAGATGCTGCAGCCATCAGTTACTCCAAGAAATTGACAAGCCTACAATGCTGATTGCGAGGTGACCAGTTACACAGCTCACAAAGCATCAAAGTGGGCAGCTGGCAGACAGTAAACGATAGCGAGAGACAGAAAGAGATGCATCGCCACTGCAAAGTTAGCCTTCAAACAGGTAAGATGTCACACTTACTAACTAACGAACTAACTGATTGGGTTGCACTTTCGTTTACCAGTTGCTCTCCTAACACCTTTTAAGGGAGTTTGCGAATGAAATCCGGAATTCTCTTTCTCTCTGCTCAGCTACCATTTTTTTCAACAACGAATGAAATTGGGAGAGTGTTTCTTTTAAATTTTTTTGTTTAAAAAAAACAATGCATGCATTAAAATCCGTGTTGTTTGCACCATTGTGGAATGCGTGATATAATAAGACAAGCTGACAAGTGTCAGCGATGGTTATTAAATTGCTGGAAGTCGAGCTTAATATAATAATGTTTGCGTTTGATTTCTGATTCAATCTTGTGCTATCAGGTTTTGTCTCTTCCTTCTTATTAACCGTACACGCATACACACTCCAACAAACACACACACACACCTCTCACCTCAACTCCCTGGGCTTGTTCAGATGATTGAGGTTTAAGTTTGTGGTAAGGCTATAAAAATACTCATGGTCTCAGCCTCAAGACCAATGTCTAACAATGTAAGATCTTGCAGAAATCTGTGCAGTTCTTAAACTCAGTCTCAAATTAAAACTGAATTTAAGAATATTCTGTAATTTTGCACAGTCGTAACTTTAACACAAATTGTATTCCTTTTGAGGGATAAACCAAGTTCTGGTGACACATTAAATAATAATATTAATAATAATCCTTCAATTTGATACAGCGCCTTATCATGTCTTCGAGACGTCTGAAAGCTTTTCACAGAACACACAATGCAAAGTGAATTGACTGTTTTGTGAGCGAAACGCGGCAGCCAATTACGCACAGCAGCGTCCCACAGGCAGTCGTGGATTGAGTGACCAAATTATTATTGGCTGCCGGGTTTCGCTCACAAAATATACAGTCAATCCATTTTACAACATATCTTGTGAAACGCTTTGGGACCTATCAACGATGTGATAAGGCACTACATCAAATGCAATTAAAGGATTATTATTATAGGATTATTATTATTATTTTGTAGGCAAAAGGGGCAACACCGCAATGTCCCACAAACAGCAGTTTATAGCCCAACACCACCGTATGAGATCGTACAGCACTTGTTCTGAGCTGCACCAAAGCACACAACATGCAGATTCGAACGTGGCACCTTATGATCTATTGGGTCTCATGCTATTTGGGGTGGTGATAGCTAACCCTGACCAGTCCATGACTCCCTACCCCACCCCCCCCAAACACCACCCCCAGCTAACAACTCATTTTGTACTTGTTAAAATTAAGCTCCGCCGGGATTTAATATCCCACTTATTTTTCAATGATGGCGTATTCTGCCTCATTTTGTGCTAAGTTGTTTGGGTCTGAGTGCAGGATCCACCCACGGTCTCTCCACGCTGAATAAGAAAGAATGGGAGATTGAATTTAATGTCATTCCTCCTCCCTGTGTAGGTTGTGTTCTGTAAACTCAAACACCAGCTTAAGTGGTCATTTTATTGCCGTGGCATAAATCATGTTTCCTCCCCTTCTCGGCTTTCCTCCGCGCTGGTCCATAATGTGTTCGGCAGCTCCCGCTCGACTTTTCAAACACCCTCTTTGCCGGTCTCTCCAGGTCCAGCTGATCCAAAACTCCCCCGCCCGCCTACTCACCCGCACTAACCTCCGTACCCTCATCGCATCAGTTCTAGCCGTTGCACCATCGGTGGCTGCGCTTTCAGCCATTACGCCATAGGGGAGCGCGAAGCCGAACCGGGGGGAAAGTGACCATAAGCGTGGTTGAGGAGGATGGAATTCCCCTCATATGGGGAACAACAACAAGATTCCATTTATAGAGCGCCTTTCACGTCGGGAGGACGTCTCAAGGCACTGTACAGTTGGGTCAGGACCCGAGCAGGGGGGAAATGGTCAGGGTGAGGGGAGGGAAGGGAGGGAGCGAGGAAGGGGTAGAGAGTCGAGAGGGGAGCTGAAGGCACGGTCAAAGAGAAAGGTCTTGAGACCGGCCTTGAAGGAGGAAAGGGAGGAAGCGGCGAAGGCACTGGGGGATAGAGTTCCAGAGCCTTGGGGCTGAGAGGCTGAAGGCCCGGCCACCGATGGTAGGGCGGTTGGGGCGGGGGATGTGGAGCAGACCGGAGCCAGAGGAACGGAGGGTACGGGCAGGTAGGTAGGGGGATAGTAGGTCGGAGAGGTAGGAGGGAGCGAGGCCAGATCCTCTGG